TTATGCTGGACTACTGTATTTATATTAATACATCTTTGTCTGTATTTTTTCATTTCTTTATATGTCTGGTTTGCACACAGCTGTGATTCATCTCACTGATTACAGTGGGTATTTAAAAATGGCGTTTCTTTTTGTATCCTAGTCTGAGGAAGAGCCTGCGTTGGTCGAAACATCACTTGACAGAAAATTAAATGGATTAATGGGAGCTCTATTGGTGTGCGGATCATTTTTTCCTTTTTTAACACCTGAACAAAACACACACACATTGGCTGTTTGTTTCTGCCTCTCCGCCGCCCACTTCCGCCCTGAATAAACGCTGAAAATAAAATAAAAGAGGGAGACAGGTTTTTCCTATTTTATCTTATTTTGTTATATTTCTCCCTCTCCCCTCGCTGGAAGCCTTGGACCTCCTGCCACCCGCTCCCGTCTCAAACACTGAGGTCTGCCTCTCCGCAGAGCACCCACGGTGCACACCCGGCCTGTCGAATAGTTTATAACCATAACAACTGTGTGACACAAACTCAGTGCTTTAGTAATTAAATAATGTTGGGCTCGTTTCGGTTTCAGACATAACAAAACAGAATGACTGTCTGGTTCAGAAAGGAAAACCGGACATTATCATCAATTTATAAACATCCCCCGGATGCCCTGGACAGGACGTGAAAAGTGGACATGTCCGGGCAAAAGAGGATGTTTGGTCAGCCTAATTAATCATTTTATTGTTGAGAAGGTCGATGAAAAGCTTAAATTACAAACCATAATTTACAGGTCACAGTGTACGCTTGTTAATCGCATCTCATTGCCGTCACCATCAAAGACAACAAGTAATACGTTAAGGTTTTTGGCTCAGAATATGAGAAAAAGATAACGGCCTTTTTACCATCTTTACCAAGAGTGTCTCTCCGTTAGTTTGGTGCTACCGTATTTATATTGAATCATTCAGCATAACTTTTGCCAACCTTTGTTATTTCTGCGATTACAGATAAATTAATGAAGCTAAGCTCCAGAAGTTAACGTTAGCTTAACTAGAGCCCTTTGGACAACAGCTAACAATGATGTACGATCACCAAAGTACAAAACTAGAACAAAATAGGCTAATGAACTCCCAGCAAACAAGGTGACATGATGAACAACGCAGCTAGGAGCTAACGTTAGGCTAACTTTAGTTAACGTTAGCTAGAGATGTTAAATATAACTTTATATTTCTTTCCAGCAAAATGACAATATGTTGCCTCAAACATGATGTTGGCTTACCTTAGAACAGATGTAAACATAATTGTTAATCTTACTCATGTTGAGTTGATGTTGTGGTCTAACGTTACCACACAACTTTATCCAAAGGAGACACTTTTCTCGGTTGAGATGTGGTTTAAAGTGTAAAAAATACACCTGGTCGCCCAGCCTCTCAGGATACCTTGTGTCAGAGTTGCATGTACCCCATGCACACCGTTTGACCATTTTTAAACTTCAACGCTCATAAAACCAAACAAAAATGACTTTCTGTAATGCATTTCAATGAACGTCCAGGCAGAGAATGTCTGAGTGTATGGGAATGGCTATACTCACTGATTGGCTCATCGCGTTTGAGGGCGGGACTTAACCATAGGTCAACTGGACCAGAGGGTGGAGCTAACCCTAATGCTAGCTGCTTGGTTTAGATTGGTTAGCATGGTGCAATACCGGCTATGGTTAACTATGATAATGCTAATGCTTACTAGCAAAAAATAGGCTTAAAACTATTAACACAAAAAGTAATTAACAGAAAAATGTAATATTTGATTACTTAGAGGGTCTTTTAGTACAACCAAATGCTGAAAAAGACTTTTTTAGGTCAGCATAATGTTAGAATTTTACCATGGGGATCTACATGGATTGACTCTATTTTGCAGCCAGCCTCAAGAGGCCATCTGAGGAACTGCAGTTTTTGGCACTTCTGCATTTGCTTTATTTTTATTCCCGCTTGACTGACTTGCACTTGGCAATGCAACACATGACCCACCCGCTGGGCTCTACTGTCGAAAAGTGGCTTCCTGTACTTTCATGCACCACTGTACTCAAAATATCTCATACACTGGCCTTAGAAACATATTTTAAGAGAACAAAACAGTAACCAAAGCATAAAATGTATCACAGTACCAAGTACACCAAGCCTACCTCAACAACTACTACTGGTGAACAACAGAGACAAACCATCCCCATGCCCTCACTAAATAGCTTGATGAAAGATGGCTGCCCCCCACTGGTGAAAAAGTGAAACACCATCTATAGTTTTTTTTTGTTGTTTTTAACAAATCTAGGTGGATCAAGTTTAATTGCAGTGTCCCATCTTGCCTAAGGTAAAAACCAAACAAAACACAGTCATATTATTCAGTGTTTCACCTCCTGGTTTAATCTCAATCTACTGCATTTACCATAGTTTTGTGTGTGCACAGTGTGCCAATGTACATTTTGGGTGCATATGCTTTTGGGTTTACCTCCAAATTAATGGGTTGAAAGCTGCACTAATCAATTTTGTTCTATTAACAATGGGTCAAATGGCTGTGTGCTGTGTGAAATGTGTCCCTCATAGTGACAATGCCGTAGAAAATTACACATCAACTCAGTTCAATAGAGCCCTTTAGCGTCTTTTAACTCACCGCTTGGCTTGGTTTTATGGCTCTCAACTGTTCTGTTTGGTTCAGTCCCAGCGCTCTAATCAGTGTCATCTCCAGCCCCAGCTGGCAGCTGTGTTTAGTAATGATAAACCCACTGTACAATACCTGCATCAGCACCAACCAACAGACTGGCACAGTTAGTCGCTGGCTGATATACATACTTGAACATTTTGAGGGCCACAGAGCCAGATATTTCCTTGAAGAGTAGGTGGAGACCAAAAACAGAGCTGAAAGAGAGTGACTACTGGACCTGCATTTGTTGGGTGGTTAGAAACACAACTCCAAGTGAATGATAATGTTGCTACGGTTACTGCTGGATGTGTAAATAAGCAAACACCATCTCACCATAATAAACACCATATCAGCTTTTCAAGGTGATAATATGCCTGTGTTGTCTTAACAGCTTGCTCTACTACTCATTAGTGGCCAAAGAATAAATAAATGAATACTGCTTGAAATAGCCTGGCTTGTTTACAACCTGCCTGGTCGTCTGACTGCTCACTTCTTGCCCTTGTCGAATTTTGTTGTAATGATGTCAGCCTGTGCCCACTTTTCAGCAATTACTTTATACAGTGTTATCATAAGTGATAGAAAAAAACTTGAAAAAAAGACCCAAGTTGTACTAACGTGTTTTTATGCCCTGGCTGCAGGCATTATGTTTTCAGGTTTTTCATCAGGCCATCCATCCATCCCTCCATCCTACACACAATATCTCAAGAACGCCTTAAAGGAATTTTTCAATATCACACACCTGTCCACTTGGACTCAACAATGAACTGGTTAAAATTTAATGGTCAAAGGTCAAGGTCACTGTGACCTCGTCCGCTCATTCTTATGCATTTTGTTGCAGTAAAAGTAAATTTGCCCAAGAACACTGTTGGACACAATATATATAATGGAGAATGTCTATACAGCGGCTCCATTGCCCAGACCAATCATCTTTGAGCTGTAATGGTTGCTCTCTCTAATCTCTGGGCCAGCCATTCTTTTATGGCGGAGACTGATTCTGCTTACAATGAAATCACTGCAGCTACAGTGAGTTTGGCCTCTAGCTCTCAGAGTTACAGTGTGTGGTCAGTTCACTCCAGTGAAGCCCATTATTCTTCTGCTCAGAGGCCAGAGACGACAGAAGTGTATCCCCTCCAGCACTGAGCCCAGCTCCCATCTCTGCCCTCCTCTGTGCCGTTTTGCATGATCTTGGCGAAGCAGTCCTCCTATCCTCATCCACTATGTAATTATTAGTTTCTCTTTGATCCACCTTATGCTGTTTCCAAAAGCGTTGCTGTTAGAACTATCAACTGCTTATATGATGGTGCGTTTTCAATCAGTTGTGTATATAAATGTCAATCCAGAATCATAAATGTCTTCAGGAGATGCACTTTGTATTTGCTTAGGTAGCCTGGTGAGATCAGAAGGACATTGCCTCTGTCTGTATTTCAAGTCAGCCATCTCCTCCTGTGGCCTCCTTGGTGTCCTGCCGTGACTTGGCTCTGTTTGATTCCACTGCGGTCATCAGAGAGCTGCTCATTAATCTTACCAACACTCTGTCCCACTTCTCTCCATAATCTTCCTTCTCCTAATTTCCCTTATCGGTCACACTGACTTTCTTTTGTTTGTGTTTGGAAGGCTTACTCTAGGCTGTTAGCCAGAGGGTGCAGACAGAGTACAGAGCGGACTGCGGCAGCTTCCCTCCATCAGTCATGAAGCCAGGGGTGGTTTATCATCCCAGGTTTAGGTTTTGTCTGCCAGCAAGTGCTCATTCATTTGCAAGGGATAGATTGTGCTGAGAGTATTGATGGGGAAGCTAATGCTTTTAAGTGCAAGATTACACCACATTTAATAATGATGTTACTTATTGCTGCTGGCACTGCAAACTGTCATTTGTCATGCACACTCCCCAGTGTTTGCTCAAGTCCACGCGCAACGTTTCCTTCCCCCCCCCCCGCTCATTTCATCCCATTTCAGCCTAATCTCTTCCCTGTGTTAGAGTGGAGTGTTGCAGGGTAAACATCACCAAGTCAGGTCCATCTATTTCATCAGCACCCCAGATGCCTTTGAAAGTGTCGGAGGCTGTCAGGAGGTGTCCCAGGGCAATCAATGATGCCCTATTAAAGTCCCAGTGCTCAAAACGTAGCATCAAAAACATGCTTCAGTGAATCAGTGAAGGGAGGCTGGAAAAGGTTATGTCTTATATTTTCAGAACTACCGCTTTTAAAGAAAACTTGAGAACATATAGACTATATAAAACACACTTTTGCCTGACTGATATTCAGCTCCATGCTCTTGATGATTTTCCTTTTTTTGGGCTGCCGTCTAATTTGATTTCGATTTTATTTGACTCATCAGATCTTGATAACTTCAAAACTCAAACGGTGAGGAGCGCTGTCAACGTCCGTGAGGGCCAAGGAGTGGTTCTGTTATGTGGACCACCTGCACATTCTGGAGGTAAGTTTGCTCTGTCTGGGTATGTCGCTTTTATGCTTCTCATTAAACATAACATTATACTCATAACGAGTATAATTCCCTCCACTTGTTTCACATGGCAACCTTTGATTAAGTATTACTCCTAACTTATTCTGATTTTACACTCATTTATGTGTACACATGCTCTTAATATTTATCCTCTTGTGTATTTCCTAATTGAATACTACTACCAAGCAAATCCCCATCTGTGTGTTTCTTTTCTTATATTTTTCCTATTACAGAAGTGTGTTACTGAAATCAGTCTTAAGATAAGTCCACATGTACATGGGTATTTTTAAACAAGAGGAAACTCTTTTGTTGTCAAAAAAAATCCCATCCACACAAGCACTGCTTTAAAAAATCTTTGTCCATATGACAACATAAAAACACAACTGAAGTGCTGAAGAGCATGAACCAACAGGCAGCAATATAACACTAACCCTAAAGCCAAGGCCAGGAGCGGTGACTTCCTTGAGTAGTGAACTGTGTACTGCATTCTGATGCCTCTGTTCAGATATATAGTGGAAGAGTAACTGTACAATTAAGTGTGAAAATTCATGTTAGCAAGGTAAGAGCTTGCACTATTTAGGCCACACTGACAACTCAGACCAAAAACACTGCTTTCACAGTGTCTGAAAATCTTCACCCTGGATGGAGTTTTACAAAAGGTTTGTTTTCAGTGACCTAAAGTGCAGTTTGGGTGTGGACAAAAGGCCAAAACACATATTTAAAAAGCTACATTTTCAAATATACCTGGATATGTGTGGCTTTAAAGGGATAGTTTGACATTTGGAAATAGATTCCTTCCTAGATTTCTTGCTGATACATCTCTTATGTCTGTCTGTTAAATATGAGGCTACAGTCAGCAGCCAGTTAGCTTAGCACAACCAGTGGTGCCCCCACAGATTTTTCATGGGGCAAATGAAAATGAAAATCTTGGGGTGGCACACCAAAACCAGTAACTAAATTTTATGAATTTGATTATGCTGTTATAGGTTTATAGTCCAGTTGAAAACTGTGCCAGTGTGAGAGTTAATAAATCACATACTGATTATCTGATAGATTACTTTATGTGTATGGACTAATCCTGGTGAAGTTAACATTTTGAGTTCCACAACAATCCTGTTTTCATGTGTTATGTATCGGTACATGTTAAATGATTCATTGATCTCCAAATGGTTGTCCAGTTGTCCTTTTTCTTAAAAAGACAAATATGCAGCTTTAATTTGTAGGAGTACATTATTTATATGGTTCAAAACATTTACTGGGAACAAGACTTTTTAGGAGGTTTAGGAGAGATTTATGGGTACCCAGAGAACCCATTTTCATTCAGATATCTTGAGGTAAGCGTTGAAGGGACACATCAAACACATTGACACATTGAGTGGGTTTACATGGAGTTACAGTTTAATTCCGTTTTCATTCGGAATGAAAATTCATTCCTATTAAATGTGATCTTGTAAACACCTAATTCGGAATGAAAATGGCCAATGTGATTGAAAATTCAATCCGATGTAAGGGGCTGGAATATTCCGTTTCTAATTCCTAATGAAAGAATTTCTCGCACTTGTATACACTCATTCCTCTTTAAGTTCATTCCGGTCTTTCTGCGCATGCTCCTTTCCTTGCCCTTCTGGCACGATGACGTATATAGTGTCCATAGCAACAGGCTGAGATAGAGCAGTCGGACTCGTTGCACTCACCGGTTTCCATTCGCCAAAGCACGGTCTTCTATCTCCCTTATTCGACCTTCTACCTCCCTTCTCCTCCTCAACAGATGAAGCATTAGCAGAACAAGGTTGTTGTCGTACTGCTGCTTCAAGAATATAAGCAAAACAAGCCCGAAAAAGGCACTAAGAACAGCGGCGTCAAGCATCTTGTTATCCGGAGCGAGGACTACAGTGTTTCCGGTAAACGTAAACACGTAACATCCGCCCCCCCCATCCAATGAGAAACCATCCCTGACCCAAACTTTGAGCGGACCCGAATAAAGGCGATTAAAAGGCGATTAAACTGATCTCCTGTGTATACCCTCATTCAGAATGAATATTTCCCATGTAAACTACCTGGAAAAACTTTAATTCTGAATGATTTCATTCAGATTTATTTAATTCTGAATGAGAAGCCATCATGTAACCGCACCCATTGACTACGTTTACATGCACACCATATTCCTGTATTATTCGGAATATCCTCAATATTCTGGTTGTAAACACATGCATAACCCGATTAAGGTCATATTCCGGTTGGAGAATATTCCGAATAAGACCCCTGGCATATGCCTGTTTTAACCAGAATATTGTGACATGTTTACACCTTAATCGGAAAATGCCCTGTACCGGAATATTGAGTAACGTCTGCGCATGCTCGATTCGCAAGAAATCTTGGGTTGTTGGTGTTGTTATGGTTATGGCAAGCAGGGAGAACAGCAGAACTGGCTTTGTACCTTCATCCACAGACTCCGGGGGGCTGTGGCTGGCGTAAGCTGGAAGCAAAGGTCCATACACTCGTTCGCCTTTTCTTCTCGCTCTCGTCTTCCATTGTTGAGGACAAAATGGATCAGCAATAGTGTTGTAGTTAAGTTGTGGTGCAAAAGCGCAAGTAGGATAACACAGGGATATGTCGGAAACAAACATTACAGCTTTTGTTCATTGTAAACACAACTTCTTCTTCTTCTTCTGTATTTCCGGCAGACCAGATGCCTATAGGCGTATGGCTACCCCCCGCAGGCTTTTCTGGTGGGGCAGTAGCCCGGGGTCTTTTCTGGAATACGCAGAAACACAGGAATATGTCAATTAATATGTAAACAGAATATTCCAGTTGCTGCTGCGCATATATAAACACCTTATTCGGAATATTACCTTAACCAGAATATTGACCTTAATCGGAATATTGTGTGCATGTAAACGTAGTCATTGAAAACAACAATGCCAGTTGTTCCCTTGCAAAAATTTACTCTAAATTTGGAGCATTATTTAGCCCCGTTTCCAACAATCTATGCCGACATGTTTGGTACCAGTGGATGCCTTAGGTTGTCTAGATTCACAAGATACCTCTATCTTTACACTAGCTTTAATAATGACTGTGCCACAGCCTCTTAAATCACTAATTTTGGCCTCCAGGTATTTTCACCTTGGGGAGACCAGTTGGGGGACCAGCAATTGTATTGGGGTGACCATTGCTCCCCTTGCTCCTCCCTCATGGGGACGCCACAGAGCATAAAGACTGTAAACAGGAGGAAACGCCTCTAAACTTTACTAATTAACATGTCATATCTCTTTTGTTTAACCCGTACGTTTAAACCAAAGTACAAAAACAACAAGTTGTGGATTTAAGGGAGATTCAGTGCTGGACGACTACTACTGATGTTTTGGTTTGGAGTCGTAACGTCTTCATAACCCCTGTAAAACTAGAACTTCTTGTTTTTAAGCCTCAGTTTTTATAGGTTGAACAAAAGAGATGCTAATAGGCTAGCTATTTCCCCTTGAATACAGTCTTTATTCAAAGCTTAGCCTACCAGCTGCTGGCCGTAGCCTTATATTTATGCACCTCAACACATTTAAAAAGATGCTTTAAATGTTCAACTGAGAAGCTAAAAATGTATTCTTTAATAAATGAGAGGCCACAATTAAGAGATAAAGACGCACACTGCTCAGCCCCGCCTCTCTGAGGATATGGACAATGGCTCCTGCCTAGCTCGTCTCCCTCTTGATACAGTAGCTTGCACATTGGAACAACCAGTTTTCTTCACAAGAGAACAGTTTGTAGCACAGTGCATTGTACAGCTGGTCTATGGGATAATGGGTCAGAGTACTCTGTGTGAAATACAGTTTGACAGCTTTCCTCTGACATAGGCTTATACGCGGTTGGCTGCTGTAACCGTAGCGCTATTGTGTTTTTTGTTTTTTTTTTTCACATTTTGAAAAGTGAATGAGAGTAAAGCAGTGTGAGCCTGCTGTCCCTTTCTTCCTTTTTCGCCCTGTTGCTCCCGCTCTGGCTCTTCCTCTTTCTCTCTCTTCTTGTGCTCCTTTTCTCCCACTCTCTTGAATTTTGAAAGCTTCAATTTGCTTCATAACCTTGAACTGAACTTTATCTGACACCTACTAAGGCATCCCTTCTGATTTTCATTACATTTTGGTGACTTCAAATTCTGCAGAAGCTTTTTCCTCCACCACAACATCTATTATGACATCACCCAGATATGATAAATACAATATTGTCACAAGCAATTGTCACTTTTGTGCTCCATCGTGCTGAAGACATTTGTTTACTCGACGGGCTTTTTAGCGCATAAGTCACTTGTGTTGCATAAAAGCCCTTGTGTTGTATTTTCACTCCTCACTTGACTTACAATTGCTTACAACTCTATCACTGCTCATTGCAGCCACACAGTTCAGATGGAGGTTATGCTGACGCTGAACTTTGTGGCTCCTGCTTGCCTAATCAGAAGGAGATTTGTATCTGCATGGCTGCTCTCAGCTTAGACGCTCGAGCCCATACAAAGCCATGAGGCTCGCTCCCTTGGGGGCACTGGATATGATTGACAGTCATTGCGTACACCTTTTGACTCTGAGCCCCTCACCTCCCACGTGGTAGATTACACCGAGCGCCTCCTCACTCTTGCAAATCTGTGCAGTGTGTGCTTATCACAATGACACAGTAATTCATCATGGCAGGTCTCTCTTTTCTCATGGTAGACCTGCAGCTTGTGAGGGGGCATCACAACATGTTCTTACTTCCATACTTCAATCCATCCATCCATCCATTTGTTTGGGCCTCCCATGGACCAACCAAGTCACTCAGGGAATGGAGGCCATGTGTCAGGGGAGGGCCACTGACGCGCTGTAATCCATTTTGTTTCGCTCCCTTTCCTTGGGTCTCTCATTTCTTCTGCACTGATAGCTATTACATTTGCCATGTCTTGGTATCTCTTCCCAAGGAAGCTGAGATAAGGAAAGGAAATGGCATGATATGCTAACATTTTTAGCCCACAGTGGGGTATATTCTTTCGGTTCAGTCGTCCCAGCTATAGAGGTGAATATATCTAATACTGTATGTGTGGAATCAGTCGTGCTTTGAATGAGTGATGACAGCAGGGCGGCGATGCAACTTTAATTGTTTTTCTCTCCCTTCCAGAGCTGACATTTGCATGGATCTTCAATGAATACCCGTACTTTGTCCAGCAAGACAGTCGTCGATTCATCTCCCAGGAGACTGGCAGTCTGTACATTGCAAAAGTGGAGCCCTCAGATGTTGGCAACTACACCTGTGTGGTTAACAACACTGTCACTAGGGAGAAGGTGCTCAGCTCTCCCACACCACTGGTCCTCAGAAGCGATGGTAAATGCCTTTAAGTACAGGAAATTTCATTGCTGACATTGGAAATAATCCATATTTGTTACATTTGTATTTCAGTGTCTTCCCATTTGTGGTTGTGAGCGGATATTGCCCAGTATACACATCAATTTGTGTTATGTCTCGTTTCAAACTAGGCTAGGTTTGATTGTAAAGGGAACGTTTTTTCAGACCAATAGGTTTGGTATTATTGCAATAATATTATAATTGTCATTTTCCAATATTGCTGGAAAAGATGAAGATTTCACTCACTATGTTTTCATATATTAAACTACAGGCCTGCATTTGTGTTCAATCAAATATATGGTTGTACCTAGGGGCCTTGACACACCAAGCTGACAGTTGGCCGTCGCTCAATGTGAAGCCGTCAGTAAGTGTTTATTGCCCTAGTTTTTGCCGTGTCCTGCAGGTTGGCACTAGTCAGCACTTGTCCCTTGTTGGCTTTTTTTGGCCAATTCTGAATGTTAAATGAGTGTAGGAGATGCCAGAGCCCATCAGTGAATGAAACTGCTCTGATTGGCAGTTCATCTCAGTGCACAAGACAACCTGTGAGTACTCCACTTTCTCTTTATGAATGACGAATACAGACTACCGCCACCTGCTGGTATAGGGAGTTATTTCCTCTCACACAGGCACAGAATGTACATGCTAGCTGGCCAATGGCTGTAGTCTTTACAGTGTGTTCAAGAGCAACTTTTTGGGCGAGACACAGGCCATGTGAGACTACGCAGCACTCGGCCTTGGTCACCACTAGTTCCTTGATGTTGGTTTTTGTGTCTAGGCCTTAAAGTTCTATAGAAATATTTATTTATTTAGACCCCATTTTATAAAAAATATTACATCAGAGGTTTACTCTGCACTATTAAATAATACGTTAATATGATTGACATTTTTACAAGCTTCTCAATTCAGAGCTATCTCAGTTTGATTTGTAGGGAGCAATAACTTACAAGGCTTTTGCTTTAGCTGCTTTTCTTTCATGCTTAAACTCACTTTGATCAGTGTGACTGTCAATTGCAGTCAAAGGAACTTTTTTGTTCGTCTTTTAAGCCTTGTCCTAGATATAAGCTGGAGAAAAACCAGGACATACTTACTACTTGGCAATTATCTGTAGTTTTCAAGCATAACTTTTTGGCCAGCCCGTTCTTATTCCGAACTCGAACTGATTTCAGCATCAGACTGTGATGTAAAAAGGCGTCAATTTGAAATGCTGCTGGACGGCGTCAGTTTTAAATATCGCCAGTAGAAATATAATATAGGGAGCTAGGAAGCCCTATAGGATGGGTGGGAGGGGAGGTGTAGGGTTCCAACAAATCCTGAACTTTCACCTGGGAACCCGCTGTTCAGTTCCTGTGTGAATGTAGAACCAAATAACGTACTATTTTTTTCTAAACTTAACCACGTGCTTTTGTTGCACAGGAAAATAAACATTAAAAGGAGGTGTTTTATCACCATTGTAAGTTTATTTTATAAAAGATCATATGCATCTATCTAGCAGAAATTACATTTCCTGTGAAAAAGGAAGTGTATTTTCAAATGACACAGTGCATGCACCAAGAGTAGATTGACCTGCCATGCAGGAATGGTAACAACAAATGCAGTACGCTAGCTAGCATGTCATGTTTAGACATAAAAGTCTACTGACAGAGTGGTGATATGGGATATACTAGTTCTTGGATGTCAGCTTGTGTGTCTTGGCCTTAACGTGGACATAAGTGATTATTTGGCATTATTTATTGAATTTCTAATATGACTATGACATTTTACAAATGTGTTAAATTCATTGCTAGAAGCTACATAGAGTAGTTTGGCCAGTTTAAGTCCTAATGAAAAAGTGTTTGTAATTTACACCTGACAATGATTTGATATCTAACTGGTGACACCTAATGACACTGTTGACAGCTCTGCACTTAAGCTGTTTGAGCTATCTTTAACTTTAGCGTAACATACTGGCAGGAGTCACTGCTTCAAATCTCTGAATATCAGAAGTCTCAACCCGCCGAATAGCATTTCCTTCCATTTACTATATTTCAACAAGATGGTAAGACCACATACAGTACACACACTAACTCATTAAAAATCTGTTGGAAAAAGTTGTTCTGAAAACAACTTTTCAACCGAATACAGACCAATTTGAACCTCAAAGTCTTTTGATCTGCAAATCACCAAATCATTTTTGTTGTGTTTTTCTTTTCTTACACTGGGGTCAGCACTGTGATGTAGTTTTGGTACTACTTTGATACCCCTTAATGGCTTAATATAAACACTTAGAAAAGTTTCACAGCTATGAACCATTGATAAGAAGTGATAAGGCTGGTGTTTATCCTTCACTAGCATGATATTTCCTGGACCCAAATCTGTTTACTAATGACATATTACCAGTCCTGACAATGTCTCAAATGGCCGGAATGGTTTTCATCTTGTGAGTCTGTGTATGTGTCATCATGGAATAATGCAGTCCCAGTGACACCAATTGTGGCAGGAACTACCACAGAAGCCATTTTGAGTATTATGCCAAGTGTTTATCTGTCTATCTGTGGATAGATTTTGTCAATGCAGTTGTTGAATCCGTGCAAGACGCAGTGACGAAACTTTACAGGTGTGTAGTTGAGATCAAAAAGGCAGAGCTTGAAGATGGTTGTGGTCCAAGCAAGAACGCTGAAAGTCGTGGGTAGGAAGTAGGGAAGGGGCCCCACTTTATGCCCCTGCACTTTATGTATTTTTAAGTTGCTGATTACTGTATTGTAGCAGGAGTGATCCCATCGCAAGATGGTCTCCATATTGAACAGATACTGATTTGATGGCTTATTACAAAATGAGAACTCCATAAACCGTTTTACAGTATCAGTGGATTGGCAACAATTTTAATTGCTTTATTATACAATACTCCAGCCAAATGGAATTTTCACAAAAGGGCAACCCAGATATTGTTGTTATTATAGGCTTATAACTAATCAATGTAGCATCAGTAAATAATTTGTCAGCTCTTACTGAGGCCATTGATTTCAATGGGTGCCTTTTTTAGAATGTGGAACAGTGTTTGTAGTCCTTTAGATGTGTGCGTGTCTTTTCAGCCATTATTCCAATCAGACTGTCGGTTTGAAGCACAAAGTGCAAAACTGTCAAATCTTTCAGATTAGAGTCATTGAATTTGAATTAGTGTTGAGGATTCTATACAGGAAAATGTCACAGATGATTACTAACTAAACATTGAGATGATCAGACTGTGGACTGTGTGTTGAAGGAGATGTAGCTCCATATTCTGTATGTTTTCCACGCTGGGTGTGAGACACTAACATTTATCACAGCTTTTTAAAGTCTGTAGTGACCTTTAATCTGAAAACATGCACAGGACCCCAAATCAGCTCCTGCTGCCAGACTGTGGGGTTGTACTTGGTAATGGTAAAGGGCATACTACTATCTCTGCAAAGGAGTCTTTGACCTGTTCCAGTGATGTGAATATAAATAAAGTCATAAATGAAGTCACATTGCCACAGGTGATAAATCTCTACTAAGCAAGTCTTTTCCCTGATGTGTTCTCTGAATCTTTTATAAGCCATCTCTGATTTTGTTTCGTCTTTACCAGCCCTTCACTGGTCACTTTTGCTCTGTATGCATAAAGACTTTCGTGTTCGCTGTCTCACTGTGTTACTGCTCTCTCTTTGATCCAACACATGTATAATGTGTGCTGTTAATCATTGATGTAAAAAGCTTGTCATCTATTGTCTCCCTTCTGTAGGAGTAATGGGTGAATATGAACCCAAAATAGAAGTTCATTTCCCTGATTCAGTTCCAGCCGCGAAGGAATCAGTGGTGAAACTGGAATGCTTCGCTCTGGGAAAGTAAGTCAGCCTCATTGTGTGTGTGTATGTGTCTGTGTGTCTGGGACATAAGCTGTAGGCTCATTCGTGCATGAATTAGTGCTACTCAAGATGATTTAAGGATGCACAAGCGTAACATTACTCATTCTCAGATTCATCAATCCATAGGAGAGCAAGGGCCGCAGCATGAAAAGACAAGGGAGCAGAAATCAAAGTTCTTTTAAGAGCTTCTGAAATCAGAGCAATCGCAGTTTGATTTGTAGGGAGCAATAACTCACAAGGCTTTGGCTTCAACTACTTTTCTTCCGTGCTTAATCACACTTTGATCAGCACGACTGACAGTTGCCATCATGGGAACTTTTTTGTTCGTCTTTTGCAGCCCCGTCCCAGATATAAGCTGGAGGAGAACCAGCGGCATCCCTTTCCCCAGCAAAGTGAAAATGAAGAATTCAAATGCTGTCCTTGAAATCCCTAATTTCCAGCAGGAGGACGCGGGGACATATGAATGTATGGCAGAGAATCGGCGAGGCAAAAATGCTGCACGGGGTCGTATTTCATTCCACGGTTAGTGAACCATTTCACATTGAAGCAGGGAAACGTGGGAATGAATATGTGTCTGAATTTTACAGGAAACATGCATGTGACCGGCAGCTTTAATCTCATTTGTTTGACAGAAAACCTATTTGTCTACAACGTGTGTGGCATAATGTTACCATGAAACTGCAGCACAGGCTATGGATCCAGGCTTGAAAAGCAAAATGTTAATATTATTGCAGAGGCTCCAAATTTCTAGTCATTGTTCAAATCTGTTTACTAGCCTGTACTCCTCATTATGCTGATAATCCACTTTAAACTTTGATGATTTAAGGCAAGGCTGCTTTAAAGGCTTTATGATTTCTTATACCACTCTTTACTAATCCACTGCCTCTATAATTAAAACACGTTTGAAAAAGGTAATCCTCTCATTTATTCCAAGCTAAACCTCACTGGCTCCAGACAATGACGGACACAGCTCTGTCCATCGAGGAAAACCTCTTGTGGGAGTGTAAGGCCAATGGAAAGCCTAAACCGTCTTACAGCTGGTTGAAGAATGGGGAGCAAGTGATGGCTGAGGTATGGGGATACTTTGTTAGACGTCTTAGTGTCACACAAATGACAAATTGAAGGAAAACCCCTGAGCAAATGTGTGGCATAACATAATGAATGTTTCCATACAGTCCACCTGGACAGTCTGATAGATCTGCTCATTAGTTACTCTGAATCAGAAGCTGTTTTAAAGATTAATTGCAAACATATATTCAGGATAAATGCATGTTCTGTATCAGAACTGGCTTTTCATGACTAGAATCAACCTCTCATCCGTTTTCCACTTGTTAGGTAGAACTGCTGTTCTTGAAATTCAAGGGGTACTCCTGGGATTTTGCACTGTGCTTTCATTATGTTGCAGACAGATTTAGAAACAAGGCAGAGGTATCCTGACTTGTAGGGCCCATTTACACCTCACATCAGCATGCTACCTATATTATGTGGATAATGGCATCTGCTCAACGGGCCTTTATATTTACACTTTGCTAAATAAAGAGTTCACTTTTTCTCAGTTCTCCCCACATTGTGATCTGTTATCAGTAAAAGTTCACCTTTTGCACGGGAACACTTGCTTGCAGGCCCCAGGAAGTGCACTGGGAAAGAGATGTCTGTAAATCAGTGGATACATGTTTTTCATGTCACAACGCCTGCAAAATGACTCCCTCACAACAATTCCCACAGTCTAGAAAAGCCGCAAGATTTAATCATTTTATCATAATTCAAGATATCGGAGGGTTAAACCAGAAGTAGCCAAGTCAGCTGGCGGAAGTCCCCGATGTGTTGCTCTATGGGCTCAATGATGCGGGAGATGCGGGTAACTTTAAACCAGAAAGGTCAAACTTTTGTGGCTTTACTTTATGTGCCGCTGAGCAACTTTAATAGGAGTAAGCTGCACTCTACCTCCATTGCTGTATCCAGGGCTCTTCATACATCCATTCTTGCTAGCTACTTGCAGCTTTTGCTTTGCTTGCTGACGCTAGCAGGAAGAGGTGGAGTTTGAAGACCCGTTAACTTCCTGGGTGGATTTTTTTACCTCAAAATGGTCATGCGGTGAGGATCTATTTGCATTCTGATCTGAGTGCATTTATACCATCCCAACATGTGTTTTTTACTTATCTAGATAAGGTAAGTTAGGGCACAGTGTAAACGGTGTGTTCAGACAGAATGCAAGGTGAATTTATGCAACATTGCACACACAGTCCATAAAGAGGTACAACTGGAGGCAAATTCACCTAGCATTTGGCAAAGTAGAAAATGTTTCAACTGTGCAAAATTTTTGCATAAATCCCAGGCCTATGTAATGTACAGAGACAAGAGTGAAAAAAGACGGAAAATGACTAAGACCCCTAATGTTTCTGGTAAGTTTTAAGTTCAGTCAGACACTCACCATTATTCCACACACACGGTCAGTTTGTACGGTGCTAGCTAGCTTCCAGCTAACTACAGTACAGTTGTTTTGGGTGATTAAACACCAATAAACCAGCGGCCAAATTTATGCAAATGACATAAGGTGAAAATTTGCTTTCTGTTTTAACCTTGTAACACACTGTTTACCAACAAAAAAAACTTGGGGTACTGAAAAAGTCTTGCTTTAGACCTGCTGAAAACATTGCATGACTGTTTTCACTCTTTAAGTAGCTCTATACAATATTCAGAGATATCTATGATTCAGAGGTTGTCTGCATAAGGTTCTCAAAATGAAGGCTATGCCAGCACTTGCAGCTAACTGTGCTAACAGTTCAAACAGCGCTAACAACAGTGCTAATAAAGGTAACAATGTTGACCAGATGCGAACTGGAGGGTTGGCGCTATGCTTCAACAGCAACACTGTCCTGATATCAATGGTAACAGCTGTATGGGCACGGCACAGAGTGGCTGGGATTGGCTTGGCAGTGCACTAACATGCAAAAGTGCTAGGACTGTCGGTGAAGCTCGGATTGCACGTACACAGGGGTAGCATGATTACATTATCTGCCCAAGATGCCATTATTCAGCTTTATCTTTACATAGCAAATACATGTTTGCTGCTATATTAATGCTCTCAAAATATCGTACAGAGCTTCTTCAGAAACATACCAATATGTGTAAAATCTGTGGAGTGCCCCTTTAAATCAGCAAATGAAGCAAAAGAGTGCACAACTGTACAAGTAATAATCTGTAGAAACATGCTACAGAGTTAGAATTGGTTCACAATGAAGGTTAGCTGTGTTTATGTGGTAAGGTGACTTTGTACTTCACTATATATCTATTTTAGTAAGCTCCAGCTTTCTGTATGTGTCTATAATTAAGATAGCACTGTTAGAAGCCACTCCCCCTGCAGATTATCTCATTGGGTTAAAAATCACTCCAAGTCATCATCCAAGCTGTTATCCCAGTTTTTCCAACTCAACAACCCCAGAAAATAAATGACTTTTTAATATGCTGCTGGTGTTGTCGTCAACATTGCTTCTTCCCCGTATATCTAAGATGCAGGTTGGTAGTTTTCACCACTGCCTCCTCATCTGTTCACCCATTCCAAGCTGAACATACATATTATGCCACAAGGTTCTTTAAGCTTATTTTTCCCCCTCTTTCTCCTCTCCTGCTGTCCTCCCTTCATGGTGCACCAGTAATTGCTGCTGTGCTTTTGGACATAATAGGCTGGCCTTGCAATGGATATGCAGAACTGTTTCTCTTTCCTCCTCAGGGCCGGGTACAAATCGAAAACGGGGCCCTCTCTATAGCGGCGTTAAACCTGTCAGATTCTGGGATGTATCAGTGTGTGGCTGAAAACAAACATGGCATTATTTATTCTGGTGCCCAACTAATGGTGTTAGGTAAGATTGCATCCCTCCCTCTGCTTTTATCCTGCTTATCTGTCTGTGCGTTTGATCATCTCCTAAGATAAAAACCAGCAGCCTGCTTTAGCTCTCCTCAGCAATCAGTCTGCAGACTCATTTGATGTCACTATGGGCTCTGCCAGCAAAAATATGAATCTGATGTAGTGTCTCATTTTACTTTCGGTTGTTTCATCATATTGATTTGGATACTACAAACACATTGCTTTGTGGCATTGTGAATGCTCTCTCATGTAGATGGGGTATTGATTTATTTGCAATGCTTTGATGACTTCCATCTGACGAGCTCCATGAGAAATCCAATTCTGTCTCGATGCATGTGATGACACTAGGGGGTCCAAATGATGGCTGACAAAATGTAATGATGGGTGTTGGACAAGAACTGAAAACCACGTAGGGTTGAAGCTTGGTGAGATTATGTGTGTGTGGCTGAAGGGTGGGGTAGCAGGTGGGTCCATAGCCTTGAGCCTATTAGGCATTGTTGCTGAGTCCATGCTGAGATTTCTGAGCTGCTCTCACTGAAAGCTGAAGGAGAGTCGATCTCAAATCGGCACGGCTGATCTGCAAAAGTACAGCTTGCCTGTATTTTTTAATCTCACGCATTTCTCTGCTCTTCAACACACAGCTTCAGCTCCCAGTTTCTCCAAAAGTCCATTAAGGGCCTTGCTAAAAGCTCGCTCAGGCAGCGAAGTCACTCTTGAATGCAAGCCTCAGGCCTCGCCCCCAGCAATTAGCCTGTGGAAGAAAGGGAATGAGATCCTGCAGAGAACCGAAAGGTAGGATAAAAGTCCAAGTGCATATTCCTAGCAGCTTTTATTCACATTCACTGCAAGCCGACTTGTTTGAATAGTGTATTTGGGATTTGTGCAGATACATAGAAGGAAAGGCTAATGAGGAGAATGAGAGCAGGGCACCCACCAGGAAAATTGCACATGGCTAATATACTGCGTGCACCCTCATGTGCAAATAGCTTGGTATAAGGGATGAAGATGCCAGCTGGCCATATCAACACTGCATGCATGAAATGTTTAAGAACATAAAAGATTAGCAAATGGAGTCGCTGCTAAAGTTAAAGTCTAACTGCTCTTACACAGTGGAAGTAAAACTGAAGCTGTTGCACCTGTAATTATCCAAAGTGCTTATTTAATCATGACATACAATACAGTTTGATTCATGCAATCACCGAAGCTGCAAGACAAGAGTCTCATTGCAAATTTTACAGCACAGACATCCCACTAGACTGGAGACTCCACACACAGACGCAATACAGACAACGAGCAACTTTGGGCACCACTTTAAGCAGCATGAAGTGGTTCTTAATTTTGTTTGTTGTCCTCCTCTGTCTGATATCTTATTGAATACACCAGTAGCTGAATTTGAGCTACTGAGAATATTTCACACAATACTAAAGGGCCAATTAAAACGGGAGATATCCAAAAGAAAATCAGAGGCAAGAAATGACACATTTGAGCAATCCATCCTCAGACTTTTCATCATTGGGGAGAGAAGAAAAGCGGTGACTTAACCCCGGTGCAAGCCAGTGCACGCATGTTGAGAATTCATAGCACACACACACACACATGCAGGACAGACTGAAAAAGAACAACTGAAACACAGCGCACTGAAGTAATGCCTAACTTTGTACTCTTTGAATCACTCCCATGTTGCTTATTCAAAAGGAGGTCTGAAAGTGAACAATACGAGCAAAGCATCTTGTCAAAACAGCACTGAGGCTCCTTAGTTGGCTCCAGATGGGAAGCTGCATCTATAGCTGTAGAAAATTGGTAAAATTCCCAAGCTGACTGACATTTAGCACACTGTATGTGAAGCCCACATAGTCTTTCAAGGTGCACAACGCTGGATTTAAGCAGACACTGGATGGGAAGAGCTTTTTCATATGCGCAGTCATGCTGTAGATTGGAGCAGTGTTTAGAAACATGAATCATGTTCCCATTTTGTGGCTAAATACTAATCTGTTAAAGTTGGTTTCACCTAAATTATGAAAAACATATTTTCACATTGCGTATTTTCCTTGTGGTTTCTAAGCATGCAGATGGTTTTAGCTTATTTTACTCAGTTTTCACCCATTTCTGCATTTGTCTCTGTTATCCTGAACAATCTAAAGAACACACTGTCCAATGTTTTTACCTGAACTATTTCTTTGGTAGAAAGTAGCTGCAATAACAACAGTGAAGTCTGTGATTTATCCAGACATTGTTTCTGGAAAGAAACATTGCTGTTGATTTTTTTTTCTCAACCAGTATGTATTTTTTCAATTCTTTGAGCTCCACAAATACAATTCTCTCCACCTTCATTGCACTGGGGACGGAGGCAGAGCTCTCAGAAGCAGATGTCTTTGTCCAAAACTTTGGCAAATAAAATAAAAAATAGATCCACACAATGTTAGTGTAAAAAAAGTGGTTGTTTTTGTGTGTGTAATATAAAGCAAGACTATAACATTTATGAAAGAAAAAAATATGTTTTTCCTCTCACAAAAGCTTCAGCCATATTTGGTGTGGTATGACCAGTAGTAGGCTATATGGTGGCCAACGTTAGCAAAGTTTAAATAGACGCTGCAGTATAGTGGACATCACTGAGTCAGTTCAATGACTTGTTTGTTTGAGCATTTAGCGTTAGCATTAGTGGGCTAGCTGCTTCTTAGTAAGTGTTATGGAGTCTTGTAGGAAAAGCAACCCTTTGATATGCCAGAATCTGAGAGTAACACCCCCACCCATCCCACCCACCCCAAAAGTAAATCTAATGTTAACCAAATTCTGGTCACCCCCAGCGGGTGGCTACTTCCAAACAAAATATTAAATTGCTATTATATTTATTGGTAATATGCAGTAAATAATGACAATACAATACATGGTATTTGTTATAATTCAATCCAACTTCATTCAACAGATATGTTTTCTTCCTTTAGCTTTTTGATGAACAGTCTAAAACACACTGCTGATTATTATAAACATTGCAGTGGACTATTTTTTAAGGCAAGATTGTGCTTTTATACTGTATGTATTCTATCATCTCTTTAGCTCACAGAGATATATTGGGTTCCCAGTGTGATACTTTCCTCCCTGACCTCAGCAACATAAAACCTGTAAAGCACATTTTATTTATTCATTGAGTTATTCAGTGTTGCTGTTTGTAAAAGATTTGTTCATTTAGTAATGTGTCCCAGAGTTTAGCCTCCTGCTGAGTCATGGTGATGGGTCAGCCCGCCTGCTGCTAACCTACCGCAAAGAATTTCATTTTTCTGGGCTTTAGTGGGGAGCTTTAAAGTACCACGAGGGTCAAAGTGCCTCTGAGGCTTTTCCGTTTTGACAAGAATACAGTTTGGTAGAAACACTGTACAGTAGGTTTACTACATTAGGACTAAAATAAAACTGTCACATGTGAAGAGGGTGAATATTTGCACAACATAATGCAGGTGCAGTACAAAGCTCAGCACTTCAGTCTAACTGTACACTCACCACCTTAGTCAGTACAGTAAAAAGCTGTTCTGCTTCCCTCAGGATTACTTTGCTTCCCAATGGGACGTTAAAGATCGCCAATGTAACCAGGCGGGATGCAGCCAGCTACACATGCGTCGCCAAGAATCAGTTTGGGACAGCAAGCACAACTGGGAGACTGCTCATAACTGGTGAGTCCTGGTCTTCTCCATGAACAACTCACCATTAACTGATCCTTCGCTAGACCCTACCCCCCATAGTTAATGTTATTTTGGTATGCTTATGTTGTGCTTTCCATTCGAGTAAGTTTACACTGATAATGAAGGTAGATTTGGCTCTCAGAATTCATGGAAACTTTTGAAACAATTGGTTCTTAATTTCAAACATAAAACAAAAGCAGCTTCTCATTTCTAATGGAAAAACCGCTGACAGCTAAAATGACAGCTTTCATCAGTAGATTTTATTAGCTGTTGCTAGCCCGCTTACTATCGTAGAGTCCATGAGTTGGTTTAAAACTTTTTCTCTAGCTGACTTCTTAATGTTTTCTAGCTGAGGAAAATGATAAACTTACACAAGAGTCTTTTTGAAAAGTTTGATATCTTGAGAACGCAGCTGCCTGCAGCCGGCTAACTTCTGTTAGCACAATGACTGGAAATGTGGAAACAGCTATCCTGGCTCTGTCCTACACTAACATAATCTATGTTACCAGCATCCATGGAGCTCACGCATTAAAACATGATATCTTGTTTGTTTAATTTGATAGCTATTTCTCAGAGGCACTATGTGCCAAACTATCTCTATGACTGGTCACTGACTTCTTGGATTCCCTGCTGGTTGCAGGGAACAGCCCAGAAGAAAATGTTGACATTGTATATTGATGTGTTACATTTGTATGTTTTTTTTACGTATCATCAATGTTTCTAAAGTGACGTAAATAAGCTAACTTTGTCATCAGAAGGTGGAAGGGATAATGGATGGCGTGAACCTTAGGCAAGATGCCTGCCAAGCTGCAGAATAAATGTTAGCATTGTAACAAACATCAAAACAAATTTTTTAGTAAGTCATCGCTGCGTTTCCACCAAGCGGTTTTTAGTGACCTTTCGCTGCATTTCCAGCGGGGATTGAGGGTATTTTAAGCCAAAACATGATCTTGTCCTAACTATAACCAAGTAATTTTTGCACTTAAGCCTAACCACACATTAACCAGTGTTGTCAAAACATTAAATAAAAAAGTAAAGTTTTAACGTAACGTAACATTTATTCTGGCCATTGGTATGCCAGGAAATGGGTCCCAACTAAGACATAGTCCAACGCATGATCCCCTGTGAAAAGCAGATCTGTTCTTATTGTTGGAGTCAGGCTAGCTATTTCCCCTGTTCTGTATCTTTGTGCTAACCTAAAGTTAGCTGGCTGCTGGTGGTAGCTTTAAATTACCAAGTGCATATTTGTAAAACTTTACCAAACTTTTCCCTTAAGAATGAATTTGATGGCTACATAAATTATATAATTCTAATTCATCGCTCAAAAAATGCTAAAGGCTAAATGTTACAGTATAGCTAAAAAGGTAGCGGTTAACATATAGATGACACTGGGGGAAAAAAAACAAAAAAAAAAACAGAATTATTTCTATAGTTCAGGGTAGAGACAGTGAGCCCCAATATTGAAATGTATTAACTGAGACTCCTCAGCTTCAGGATGTGAAGAAATCCAAAGCTTTCCCAGGCTTGCTGTGCCTAGTTATGGTTGCCAAGGAGGAGTTAGCAAATGGTCAACTTCCTTTCAGTTCTTCCAAAATAAAGGTCAACCATTTCTCGTCAATCTATGGCTTGAGAATACCCTCATTTATATTCATTTATAACCAAGTTATATTGCATGTGTAATGTTAACAACCAGGGTTATTATGGAATTAATATGGCTGGTATATATTATGCAAAACAGCAGTTAAATAAGCAACATAACATTATCCTTGATTTAGTTAAAGGTCATTATTTATGAATGCAGTGACATAACACGTACATGTACTCCTCCAGTTTAATCTGTTGTGTGTGTAGCCACCTGACCTATTTTTCTCATTAGCTTCTATTCTTCTCATACACTGACAGCTGAACCATTTAATGTCATAGAATTTAATTATTGTGACCTTTCCTCAACACACTCTGAGGCCTCCAATCCACCACAGCCACCAGTGGGGAATGTGCTCCCATCTCTGTAATCCTGTTTCAAACATTTTCACCCAAATGGATCCCAGAACATAAAGTGCAAACCTGAGATGTCATTAAATGTTGCTAATGGACAGGCTTGGAATTTAAGTGCTTATTAAAATCAGGAAAAGAACACATCCATGGGTAATTTAGTGTCGGTGACTTGATTTAGGCATGAATTGAAATGAGATGGCAGTTGCTGGGGTCACGATGGTGTTAAAGGTTCCCGTGGCAGCGATATTAACATGCGTACGCTGTCGTCTGTTGTCTGGCCAGAGCCCACCAGGATCACCATGAGGCCTACTAACATGGAGATTATTGTTGGCGAGAGTATCGTGTTACCCTGCCAGATTGCCTGTGATCCAGCTCTGGATGTTTCTTTCTCGTGGGCATTCAACGGGCAGCTCATCGACTTCCAGCGAGACAGCGATCATTTCGAAAGAGTGGGCGGGGTGAGTCATCTCAAGCATTAAACTCAGCTACATTCTGGCTATTCTCGGATTAATTGGGACATACTGTGTGATGTGCAAGGGTATGCTCCACTGCCCTGCTGAGGTCTTCTTAGATACCAATAATACCCAAGCGGAGACATTAGTGCCAACACTTTTCCATTTGAAAGTTTCACAGTGGTCAGTGGCAGATGGAATATCAAAAAGATAGAAATATATCAGTTACATTCTGTCATTGATATGCTGTTAAAGCCTCAATGAATGGCATTGTCGGGTCAGTAATCGGGATCCTTACCTTTTGAATTGGCTGTGTGAGCTGCCATGTGTTACACTTCTAAAGACATATTGGTGAAATGCCATTTCAGTCATAACGAGAGGGTCTTCATTGATAAAGTCTTTATACTTTTCATCCCTTCAACTTCTAGTTCTCTTACCTCAAGGGAGAACATTTTCTTATCATCTCTCTCTGCCATAATTGAATTTGCATACCTATTTGTGAATCTTGAGCCCCGAAATAATTAAGTAATGAGCCGGCTGGCATTCACCAAGGGCAGGCATGGCACAAGTAAATGTCCATTTGAAATCCTTATGCCCTGATATAATAATAAGTGACGACTCTTTGTTGAATATTTGTTCCTTTTGATGAAGGGCAAAGTCAATTGTTCAGTGCTTGTCAGGATGAAATTACCTCACACACGCTTTTTGCTTTTTATAGTTCCATTTATCATCCAGGGTCAGCAGTCTGATCACTGCTGTTCACATGTTAGAGGTTGACATTATTTCTGAATGCCCTCACAGTGTTGTGGACCTGCCAAAATCACATCTTCATGAATGCAAATGGCAATTACTAATGACATTGAACTGTGCATAGGAATATAATGAGATATAGTTTTCACAGAATCTGTTTCCCCTGTCCAGAGAGATTACCAGCCCCCTGCTCAACAGCTTCTGATGAATTAATTAACATAATTAAAGCAAATCTGCCTCATCACTTTCTTCCTGCCAAGGCAATATGCCTTGCTTTAGAGCACAAGCTCTCAGGTTGGCCAGGTGGCGGCTGACATTAGAGAGGGAATCAGGCATGGCAGAGCCATGCGTAAAAACTGTCAGGCGAAAGGACAGGAGATGAAAGGAAGAGGTAAAAGAGAGAAGAAAGAGCAGGAGAGGTACTCTCTTTAGCCCGTGGCCGCATAGAAGTGCCATTCGGCTCGGCTCTGCTTTGTCAGGTGCTTTAGGTGGAGATCCACGGGCGTCCCTGCCCAGTTTGCTGCAGAGAGGAGCTATGATCACTAGCCGCCGGGTGTGATGAAATCTGCTATGACTGTAGCAAGTCTTACCTGGCTCGCCCCCAGGTGACTCGTTTCTAAAGCAACACACTGCTTTTCACAAGCTGACATGCTTTGTGACAGAGCACTTCAAGAGGTGACTTTCAGAAGGTGGATTCCCACGCACAGTCAAAATGAGTGCAGAATGATGGTGTCTGGATAAAATGTGCTGTTACAACACTGTAAATGACTTTCTACCATAGCATACATTTTGTCATTTTAAAGGATGAGGCTTGCTATATTTTATATTTTTGCTTTTGTCAATGAAACACACCAGAAAACTTAAACTAACAATGTACTGATCCTTCCAGATGCCTCTTTACACCGTGCGATAACAGCAATATTACAGGCACAGCGCATGTCACAGTATGCAAGATGGTCTAGAATTACACTATAATACAATTTTTTTACCATGCCAGACTCTGGGATAAATACCTGATGTAATGTAATGTTATGATATCTCATGTTTTGAAAATGCAGTCAAGTACAAGTTATAGTGCATACTTTAAAAAACTTTATTTGAATAAAACGACATTTAGCGTATATGTGTCAATGTGGTATCTACTTTATCTGTATATGGGCACTTACAGCGTCATGTTGACCGATGTATTCTGTATCATTTCAAGGCCTCTTTCACTCACAAACATGTTTTTGTTTGTTTTTACATTCCTGTACTGAAGGGAGTGATATCTGTTCACTCCTCTAAAATTTTTTGGATGTATACTAGAACCTGAATTTTTCCTCCACTATCCACCAAAATAGGCTGTTCTCATGCACTGTTCCTACATTTTCCTTTGAAAAGCAATGCTCCAAATTCATACATATCCTAAGTAATGATGAGCTGGTAATTGGTGCATAAGCCTTATTTTGGAAGGCTGCGATCTCGTGACAAATGGCCTGACAGAAGTAAAGACGGACCCGCCTCTGAGTTAGGAGGCAGGTGGGGGTGGTGGATGGGTAACAAAACATAGGACTTTCCCCCAGAACTTTCTCCTTCGAGAATGGTGTCCGGAACTGTGTGAACTTTGAGATATTTTAAGGTACATCCTCAGCATTTTTCTTATCCTAAACCAACCACAGCAACTTTACTTGCCTAAACCTAAAGACATTCAACCACGTTTGCAATCCTAACCTTAAACTCTGTAACTTTACATTAAGTACGTAACTTTACCTTAAAGGGAAATTTCGGTTTATTTCAACCTGTCTTCTATCGTCCTAAATTTGTTTCAAGTGACTAGTGACATAAAAATAATAGTTAGCATGTTAGCCGTTAGCCTAGATACAGCTAGCTACATAGTAGCGTCAGACCTGTTAAAACATAAGTGAACGGGCAACCTTCAAGTGCAAAGTTAGTCCGCTAAACAAGCTTTTTTTCCACAAAGACTGCCTCATATCGTTAGGATAAATGTCAGAGTACATATAGAAAATGACATGTAAATGTGTTGTCTTACCTTACCGGTGTGGTGCCATGTTTGTTTACCATTTAGCTCTGCTTTCCAAAGCGCGGCCGAACTATATCTCGCGACCTCTAGATAAAGCCCAGCTAGATACTACTTCAGGTGGAGGTGTCTCGTCCTTGGTCACATCCAGACCTTGAAAATAAGGCTGCAATCGGTCCCATTCCTTGCAACAGAGGCATTCCTCTTCTGTGGGCATTGGGGCACAGCATCCACAGGTACATCACCAATCTCCAGAGCTACGCAGCCTTGCAGCAGCCATTCCTCCTCTCTCGTCCTCTACCTGTTGCGCCTCTCTCTCTCTCTCCTCCTCTGTTCTTCAATTTCACGAAGCTCTTCGTCAGTGTATTCTGGCTCAAATAAAAAAGGGCGACCATCAAACTCTGCAAAATCAAATTCCTCCTCCACAAAGTCGAAGTCTGGCAAAAAGTCAGCCATTATTCTATAAATCTTTCATAAAATAAATGAATGAACTTTTCAGGCTACTGTCTGGTTCTGCCTTCCAGCTGTTGCTGCTTGTTCTCGCGATATTTCGTCCGTGCTTTGGAAAGCAGAGCTAAATGGTAAACAAACATGGCAGCACACCGGTAAGGTAAGACAACACGTTTATATGTTGTTTTCTATTTGTTCGCTGACATTTATCCTAACTATATGAGGCAGTCTTTGTGGGAAAAAAAGCTTGTTTAGTGGACTAACTTTGCACTTGAAGTATGCCCGTTCACTTACGTTTTAACAGGTCTGACGCTACTATGTGCCCCGGCTGTATCTAGGCTAACGGCTAACATGCTAACTATTATTTTTATGTCACTAGTCACTTGAAATAAATTTAGGATGATAGGAGACAGGTTGAAATAAACCGAAATTTCCCTTTAAGGACGTAGCCTAGTGTGTGCAGTTTTGTAGGATATCATATAAACCGTCATATGAGGATGCTTTGACAAACAACCTTATTGTAGCAGATATTAACGCTGTTTCGGCCGCTTAAGTTAGCCTACAAGCTATCATGCTAACAAACAACATAAATAAATAAAAGATACTAGCTGTATTTATACATTCTGAAACGTTTGTTAGTCGCTGATTTTGGCTCACAACAGACTCCTCGTCTGAGTCTGGGTCTGACTGAGGCTCGAACATGTATGTCTGAATCTGTCTGATATGTGCTCTAACGCTAATGTTAGCCATAATAAGCCATGAGTGGACGCGTCTCACAGTGGAATTTAGGACCAACACTTTGGATTGACAACCCACATGTCTCTGCAACTTTTGTGTGGGACAACCCAAAATTGCACTGTGTAGAGGGGTCAAAACAAGTATGGTTTTGTAATCAAAGTCTGATATAGCTTATTCCTCAGTGCTGTTGAGCTCCAAAAACTATTAAATAAGTATACAGGGTAACCTATTCCTTCATTACGATTAAAGTAATGTACACATGACAGAACCAAATGTGTATTTTCACAGCATAAACTGGTTCCTCCCAAACTAGCCATTTATTCCTTTATTGTTTGCTAAAAACTTAAGTGCCCAACTGTTATAGGACAATATTCAACTTTTTTTTTTAAAGAAGAGACTACAGACATTGTTTGTTTTTTGTCTTTGTTGTTTTTTTAATATAATTACATCTTCACAAGGAACCGATGGCCGTGGAGCTGAATAACACAAACATGGTAGGGAAGATGTTAAGAATACCAGCCTTATCCTTAAAAATGTTCCTTCATGCAGCCCGAAATAATACAATTGTCCTTGTACAGATGAGAAAGTTAACAATATTTGTTGTGATGTTTTGCTGTGTTCCCTCATGGCCACCACATGCATCCAGCTTGTGTAAAATAATATTTGCTCTTTACACTGGGAGTTATACTCATATCTTGCTTGAGCTTATGTAATTACAGAATAATTAGGATTGTTTTGCCAATTAACTCGACTATGTTTGTTTTGTGTGTCCTGTGTATAGCTGGTAGCTGTTTGTAGGGGGTTGGGGGGCTGGTTGGTTGGGTACTGCCTGAAGGACAGCCAAAAGCATTATTTGTGCAGAGTACATCTGCCATGTCTGTTGTTGGTGTTTGAAGAGATGCAAAAATCAGTGGCCTGAAGACGATGTGATTGTGCAAAGCATTATAAATGTTTCAAACATCCTAGAGCCAAAAGCCGAGTGATGAAATAACACTGCATCTCTTACTTAGCCTTATTTTTTCAACTATCATATTCCCTTGTAGACTATATCAGGAGATCTGATGATTCGTAACATCCAGCTGAATCATGGAGGGAAATATGTCTGCGTTATTGACACTGATGTGGAGAGTCTGTCCACCTCTGCCATCTTGGTTGTCAAAGGTAAGAGAGCCAATTTATTTCAAGAGCTTGTTTACATTTTCTAGTGCATGAATACCCCAGTATATTTACAGTAAGTAATGTGGCATTGAAGCATCTGTATTCAAAGAGAAAGAAGTATGACAAAAAAAATCCTTGAAGCTTCCTGTAAATACACAACGCAGCAATGTAAAGATGGATTCTGCCTCAGTCAGAGTTGTGTCAGCTTCTGTTTACATTATATATGTGTTACTGAAATTTTAAAAATGGCACACACAGACACTCACGCTGGCATGTGTGACTGGCTTTGTTGATATGTACTGTGTGTATCTGGCTCACTGTGCGGGCTTATCTCCAGTGATTTACATTGGTATTCATGCCCTTAACAAACTGTAATAGCGGTCCCAGGTGCTTTGAGAAGGCAATGTTTATCACAGAAAATGACTATAATTGGCTCATTTACACATCTGCAAAATATCATGGAAAGCATTTAAATAATTGAGCAGCAGAGCAAACAACAGCAACATGGTAAAGCCAGAGCGTGTAACAGTCATACACACTCACCTCTCTTTTCCTCTCTCTGTATTTACTCTACTTTTATTCTTCTCACTAGTGTCTACTCCCATCTAGCCCCTCTTTTCTTTCCTCATAAACGATCCCATCCACAGTCTATTTCCACAGCTGGTAATCCCATGTTCAGTAATCACTTCGCAGCCCTGCACATCACACATGCGGTGAATGAAAAGTCCCTTAATGCACACACCAAGGTTGTAGCCCTTAATTGGAGGGAGCACAATGGCCTTGATATGAAACACGGTGCACAAGTCTTAATGACTTTGATGAGGGGAGGCCTCTTAGAATGGGTGATCACCTCAGGTTCACCCTCCTCATTGTCTGATTGATTTAGGTCCACCAGGTCCTCCGGACAAGGTAGCAGTGGAGGAGATCACAGACAGCACGGCCCAGCTTTCCTGGTCACCTGGAAGGGACAACGGCAGCCCCATCACTGGCTACATCATCCAGGCCAGGACGCCCTTTACTGTGGGCTGGCAGGCTGTTGACACAGGTACCATCAAACACTCCTCCTGCCCCTTGTAAAATATTCCAGATTCTTTATGTGGGTTTTGATGTATTTATCATCCAATTCAAGTCCAGTTGTGTAACAATCGGATTTTCTAAAGAACTCATTTCTACTTTGCAGTGCCAGAGGTGGTCAATGGTAACATGCTGACAGCAACGGTGGTGGGTCTGAACGCCTGGGTGGAGTACGAGTTTAGGGTGGTTGCCCGCAACACTGTAGGCCTGGGAGAGCCTAGCCCGGCCTCGGCCAAGACCAGGACAGAGGATGCCAGTATGTGAAACGAAACACTTCACTGCACATACACATCAATGTATTCTCATACAACAATGTGATATCTTATGAATTACTGTCCCACGAATAAAGGCCCGTACTGGTTAGGTTAGATTTAGGGAAAGAATCATGGTTGGGTGTCACCAGTTTCATACCTAACATAAAGTCACATAAATTAGGTTTACAGAAGTAAAATTACGTTGGTTAGGTTCAGGAAAAGAAACATGTTTAGGCATTGTCACGTTACGTACTTAACATAATTCTACGTAGGTTCAATTTATGAAAGGAACCATGGTTGGGCGTTGTCACTTTACATACTTTTTTTTAGATTTATTTATTAGATCCCCATTAGCTGCTGGAACTTAACAGCAGCTACTCTTCCTGGTGTCTCACTAAGTTCATCAACTTTAAAGTTATGTAACTTAGGTTTAGGCGAGGGAAGTTACGATGGTTAGATTTAGGACGATATGTTATGCAGGTTAGTTTTCAAAAAGAAACATGATTTGGCGTTTTCACGTTACGTACCCTAACATCAAGTTACGTGGATTAGGTTTAGGAAGACAGTCATGGTTATGTAGTACCTTAAAATAACTGAATGTTCACTTGGTTTTACATGGGATACAAAGAAAGGTCTCCGGGGGAAAAGTCCAGTGTTGTTTGACTAATACACATCCCCAACCTGCCTCCTTACGTGGACTTGCGCTCCAATTCCTTCTTTATCCGTGTCAGCACATTAGTCACGTAATGGCAACCTTCACAATTACATGGGGAAGATAAGAATAACTGGCTTATGAATACTGGGGTTTTTGCAAATTCTGGTGCATTACCTTTTGTGGGTATACATACAAACAGTGCGACTTTCACACATACACAGAATGTTGATCGCTTTGCAGTGATTTACTTAAAAGAGAGGAAGTAAATAGAAATAAATCAAATTATAATTTAACCACAGTACTGCTGTGGATTAGTTATAAAAAGCTCTAACTGTCTGGAGGAAGAGCAACAATTCCTTTACACTGAATGTTTCATCATCTGCTAACAAATTAAAGTGTCCTGACAGCTGTGATGAAGCTCAGTACTTATTGAGTATCCTGAGGATGGCCGCTATCTTACAAACAATTTTACTAGCTACATTTGGAATCTGAGTGTAACGGCTTGCTGACAAATTAAAGTGTAAATCCTGACATTGAGACATTGTCCTTTGTGCAGAAGTCAGAGTATACTCTAGATATATATAATACAATATTGTATTGCTCTGTTTTTCAACAAGGAGCGGCTTTGTTGCTTCCTTTTTTTTGGCGTCACATTTGTTAGGCTAAATGGTAAATGGGCTGCACCTATATAGCACTTCTATCTTAACAGATAAAGAGCTTTACAAATGGCCAGTAATTCAGCCTTTCACACACACACAGATATAAAGAGCTGCCATTCAAGGCTATGGCCTGCCTATTGAGAGCAACTTGGGGTTGTTGTTTTGCCCAAGGACACTTTGACATGTGGACAGGAAGAGCGATGGATCGATCCACCGATCCTGTGTTTAGTGGACAGCCTGAGACTTAGTCTGAGAGCACGAGACAGTTTTTGAAAACATGAGTGTTAGCAGCCCTGGAGTTAATCTCAGTATATTCATTTTTTTTCCCAAGAAACAGGAGCAAAATTTGGCTAGAATTCCGAGGGAGTACTGGGGTCCTCGTTCCCAACATTGAATCCTAATAGACAAGCATACAGTGGCATCAGATATAAATGCTGCATCAACCATTTGCTGATATGACACATTAAATGTAATGCTCCACTTACTATAGGATACCATAAGGATGTGCACGAGTGCTCCTCCACCTACACTATCTGCTTTGCCATCACACTGCAGTGCACTAACAGCTGAATGGGAATAGGAATGAAGTGGGTTGAGTTGAGTGTCATTTGCAAAATGCTACAGATCTTGACTTGGTGTTTATGCATGGTGACATTTGGGCAATATCGGTATTTCACTATTCACTGAAATGTTTGTGTTTGCACAGAGTGGGGGATTTGTGGGCTGTAAAATAGAAGCTGCAGCAGGCGGCCTTGTCATAAGGCTACAAGTATGGTTGAGGCTTGTCGTTGAGCTTTGTAAACTGTGTTCTAATTGCTCCCCTCTGGGCTTTACCTCTCAGTTCCTGATACAGCTCCCACTGATGTCGGAGGTGGAGGCGGCACAAAGTCTGAATTAGTGATAACATGGGAGGTAAGTCATCTGTCACATTTTACTGTTCTCTCCATCGCCGAGTAATGGTTTTGCTTAATTGTGCAGAATTGAACGGAGCAATTTTATGGCCCACATTAGAGCGAGACACCTCTCCTCTGGGCTCAGCCTTCGAGTGCCATTTCTCCCTCCAAAGAAAGGGACAGAGAGCGCTTGCTCTGAAGAGTTTTGCACTTTAGCCACAATTACATAGCCATGCAGGAGGAAAAAAAGATAAGGCAAAAGGTGATTGCAGAGTGTTCTGGGTGGTAAAGGCAAAGAAAGGGGCTGTGCCTAATCACAGAAGTCCTTGTCGAAGTACAGCGCAAAGACGGGCCTGTCTGTTTCTTTGTCTGTATGCCTTTTAATATCACTATAGTTTTGTGTTTTGCTCCCAGCCTGTTCCTGAAGAACTGCAGAACGGAGAGGGCTTTGGCTACATCATCGCCTTCAGGCCTGTGGGCACGGTCACATGGACACGGGCGGTCATCTCCACACCTGGTGTAGCTCGATACGTCTTTCGAAATGACACCATCCCACCCTTCTCGCCTTTTGACATAAAAGTGGGGGCATACAACAACCGAGGGGAGGGGCCCTTCAGCTCCATTGCCACCGTGTACTCGGCAGAGGAAGGTACGTACTGACTTCACAGCCCGGCAGCAGAGAGTGATGCTTAAATAAGCTATAATCTCCCTCCTTACAACTATGACCTTGAATAGTCATGATGAAATGAGTTTTTTTTCCAGTGCTGTTATTTCCCTCCCCTCTCAAGCTGGGAATGTCAACTTGATATTAGTTATCGTGCTGGTAGATTACAGGAAATCCTAGCAGACACTTACCACACCGCGCTGTCAGGGAGGTATTCTGTTAATTGAATTTGCTGGGCAGATAGTCTTCCCTTATGTCAGTCACAGATCCCATTAAAAGACAGCGGGGGAAATAGCTTTTCAGTGAAACTACAGGTCTATTCTCTGCCTTTCCTCTTATTGCTATTAGTGTGTGTGATGGTGTTGGATGAGTCTCTGGGATTCTCACCCGCGCTCTATTTTCTGCAGTCCCTAGTGTGGCTCCTAAGAGGGTTAGGACTAGAAGTGTGTCTGCAGTGCAAATTGAAGTGATCTGGGAAGCTCTCCCTGCCATCCCTGAAAGAGTGCTTGGATATGAGGTATGTTATGAATCACTGCAAAATCTTTCTTTTTTTTTTTTTTTTTGTTCTTTATCAAATAACATGATAATTGAGCTCCTCCTTATGGCTTGTTTATGAGATCATAATCATCCTTTCACTGCTCTTAAAATAGGTTTTCTCCCATTTTTTTTACTTGTAATATTCTACTTATCTTCTCATGTACCTCTGCAAGGATTCTGTTATGCCTGTGTGTCAGTAACAGCTGTGGTTGGAGGCATTATGTTTAGGATTGTCCGTCTGTCCATCCAAGGGTGCAGGTTTCATTTAAAGCCACAGTGTGTAGAAATCATATATTGCATTCAAACAGATGGCGCACTATAGCGCCTCACTGTTTCAAACGCGTATTGCAACAACGGTAGCCGCTGTGTACCAAAAAGCTATGATAACACTGATGAAATGATGTCATCCGATACTTCATGGAGTATTCATTCAGGCTCCTACACAGACACACGCGACGCGAGTTGACAAACCCCCTCCTCACCATGCTGGCTGTGTTTACAATGTAGGACTGTTGGGGCGGATGTAAATTGAAACAAACCAATCACATCTTGTCTTTTGACAACTGACAAGTGGCTCAACCTCACACACCTCATCCCTTGCATCACTGCACCACTGACAGCGGCTAGCGGCGCGGGCCTGTGATTGCATTACCTTTCTCCTTCAGCAGCTCTCTCCACCTGGGAAAGGCTACCCCGATGTTGACCCTCGTTTTTTGAATTCGCTGGTTATGTTGTCTTTTCGATTCCCTTTTGCGCTTTCTTAGCGACGAGGATTCCATCTCCCGTGATGCTGCACATGCATGATCCTGCATTAAACAACTTAACCGCCCAATGTACAAACAAATCCGAAATTCTCCTTTTACGAGAATAAGTCAGATTATTGGTGGAGGTAATAGTACACCAGTGATGACTTATTTATGAATGCAGACATCAATTTTTGCCAATAAACAACTGAAAATGTTACACAATGTCCCTTTAAGGTTTCAATTAACAATGGAAATGTTTTTAATTACATTATAATAAAGGTCCTTTGCTACTTCTATGTTTTTATTATAGGGTGGGGACAAATGCATGTTCTAAATATTTAAGGGTCACCCTGCAAATCTACGCCTGTGCATCCATCTTTCTGTCTGTCTCATTCTCATGAACACGATATCTCAGTAACACCTGTAGGGGGAATGTCCTCAAATGTGGCACAAGCGTCCACTTGGACTCAGCAATGAAGTGATCAGATTTTGGTGACCATGCGTCAAGGTCACTGTGACCTCAAGTACATCTCGTTCTCCTGAATGTGATATCTCAACAAGAACTTGAGGAAGTTTCCCCAAATTTGGCACAAACGTCCGTGAACTGATCAGATTTTGGTGGTCAAAGACCAAGGTCACTGTAACCTCACAAAACATGCTTTGGGCCATAACTCAAGAATTCAAATGCTAATGAAGAAATTTAATACAAATTTAATACAAACTTTTCTGGGCATTAATGAATAGCTCAGGAACAGAATGGAAGATATTTTGTTGGATAGTGAATTGGTGATATTAATCTTGGGTGTCCAATTTGGAGCTGTGGTGATTGTACAGATCTTCTGTGCTGCTGGGTTGAAAAAGTCTGTGACGCATCTATGTTTCGTCAAAAAAATACACTTAATGCATTTTTATTGAATTCTGTCAAAGTCTTTACTATATTTGGGCTATTAGAGGCTGACATGGACTAGAGGCTGACACTTTTTGGGGAATTCTGTGGGTCGTGGGATTTCTGTGGGATTACTGTGTAAAATCCAATATAAACATAAGTTTTGTGATAGCAATAAAGCCTGTTTAAACAGAACTGAAGTAAACCCAGCTGTATCAAAAGGCAGTGCCCTTGTGTAACACAACAGAGTGTTCAAAGCATCACCGTTTCTGTTTTAATAAATGTTTTGCTACATTCTGTTGGGGTTGAATGCAACCAAGGTCAACAAGAGCATGTGGGACAGGGATCATAACAACATTAATTCAATTTTCAATTCAATTTTATTTATAAAGCCCAATATCACAAATCACAATTTGCCTCACAGGGCTTTACAGCATACGACATCCCTCTGTCCTTATGACCCTCACAGCGGATAAGGAAAAACTCCCCAAAAAAAACCCCTTTAACGGGGAAAAAAAAAACGGTAGAAACCTCAGGAAGAGCAACTGAGGAGGGATCCCTCTTCCAGGACGGACAGACGTGCAATAGATGTCGTACAGAACAGATCAGCATAATAAATTAACAGTAATCCATATGACACAATGAGACAGAGAGAGAGAGAGAGAGAGAGAGAGAGAGAGAGAGAGAGAGAGAGATGCAGGTAATGACAGTAGCTTACAACAACATTATTGAAAGTAATAATATTATAGTTATAGTTCTGGCTACTGTGGTACAATATGTTGAAAGTATGTATTAATATCTGGCAGTATACATGTGTGACAATAGTCATATGTGTATAATAACAGTAGAAGTATGACTAATGACTAATGATGGCAGCAGCAGCAGGAGGCATCTGGCAGGACCACGGCAGCAGCACAACCACACACGTCACGCTGTCCAGGCACCGCTGCGATATGAGTTAATCTGAGAGACAGTGGAGCACAAAGGCTCCGGAGAAGAAGCCGAGTTAGTGACATCCAGAATGGCCGAGTTAGCAAGATGCAGTAATAGGATGAGAGTGAGAGAGAGAGAGAGAGAGAGAGAGAGAGAGAGAGAGAGGGAGAGAGAGGGAGCCCGGTGTATTATAGGGGGTCCTCCGGCAGACTAGGCCTAAGTCAGCCTAACTAGGGGCTGGTACAGGGCAAGCCTGAGCCAGCCCTAACTATAAGCTTTATCAAAGAGGAAAGTCTTAAGTCTAGTCTTAAATGTGGAGACGGTGTCTGCCTCCCGGACCGTAACAGGAAGATGATTCCACAGGAGAGGAGCCTGATAGCTGAAGGCTCTGGCTCCTGATCTACTTTTGGAGACTTTAGGGACCACGAGTAACCCTGCGTTCTCAGAGCGCAGTGTTCTGGTGGGATAATATGGCACTATGAGCTCTCTAAGATATGACGGAGCTTGACCATTTAGAGCTTTATAAGTTAACAGTAGGATTTTAAATTCAATTCTGGATTTTACAGGGAGCCAGTGCAGAGAAGCTAAAACAGGAGAAATATGATCTCGTTTCTTAGTTCCTGTTAGTACACGTGCTGCTGCATTCTGAATTAGCTGGAGAGTTTTTAAGGACTTACTAGAGCTACCTGATAATAGAGAGTTACAGTAATCCAGCCTTGAGGTAACAAAAGCGTGGACCAATTTTTCTGCATCTTTTCGGGTCAGGATAGGCCTAATTTTCGCAATATTACGCAGATGAAAAAATGCAGTCCGTGAGGTTTGCTTTAAATGAGAATTAAAAGACAAATCTTGATCAAATATTACTCCGAGGTTTCTTACGGTAGTGCTAGAGGCCAGAGCAATGCCATCTAGAGAAACTATGTCATCAGATAAAGAGTCTCTGAGTTGTTTGGGGCCAAGAACAATAACTTCAGTTTTGTCTGAATTTAACATCAGGAAATTGGTGCTCATCCAATTTTTTATGTCTTTAAGGCAGTTATGGAGTTTAGTTAATTGATTACTTTCTTCTGGCTTCATCGATAAATACAACTGTGTATCATCCGCATAACAATGGAAATTTATAGAGTGATTTCTAATGATGTTACCTAAAGGAAGCATATATAGAGTAAATAGGATTGGTCCGAGCACAGAACCTTGCGGAACTCCAAAACAAACTTTGGTACGTAAGGATGATTCATTACGAACGTCAACAAATTGAAAACGATCAGATAAATAAGATTTAAACCAGCTTAGTGCTGAACCTTTTAGGCCAATTAAGTGATCCAGTCTCTGCAGTAGAATTTGATGGTCAATTGTGTCAAACGCCGCACTAAGATCTAATAAAACAAGAACAGAGACGAGTCCTTTGTCTGAAGCAATCAGAAGGTCATTTGTAATTTTAACTAGAGCTGTCTCAGTGCTATGATGCACTCTAAATCCTGACTGAAATTCCTCAAATAAATTATTATCCTGGAGAAAATCACACAGCTGGTCTGCGACTACTTTCTCAAGGATCTTTGACATAAAGGGAAGATTAGATATTGGTCTATAGTTGGCTAACACCTCTGGATCCAGGGTGGGCTTTTTTAGGAGAGGTTTAATTACAGCTACCTTAAAAGACTGTGGTACATAGCCTGTTAATAGGGATATATTGATCATATCTAATATATGAGTGTTAACTAAAGGAAAGACCTCCTTAAGTAGCCTAGTTGGGATGGGGTCTAAGAGACACGTTGATGATTTAGATGAAGAAATCACTGCGGTCAATTCTTGAAGAGAAATTGGGGAGAAGCAATCTAAATATATATTAGATTCTACAGCTGTGTTTGAGGTTAGATAGGTAGGCCTACCATCTGAGGGCAGGAGGTCATGAATTTTGCCTCTAATAGTTAGAATTTTGTCATTAAAAAAGCTCATAAAATCATTACTGCTAAGGGCTAAAGGAATACAAGGCTCAATAGAGCTTTGACTCTCAGTCAGCCTGGCTACAGTGCTGAAAAGAAACCTGGGGTTGTTCTTGTTTTCTTCTATTAATGCTGAGTAATAGTTTGCTCTGGCATTGCGGAGGCCCCTCTTATAAGTTTTGAGACTGTCTGTCCAGATTAAACGAGATTCTTCCAGTTTGGTTAATCGCCAATTCCTTTCAAATTTTCGCGATATTTGTTTTAACCTACGGGTTTGAGAGTTATACCAAGGAGCAAACTTTCTTTGCTTTGTTAACTTCTTTTTAAGAGGAGCTACAGAGTCGAGCGTTGTTCGCAGCGAGCCTACGGCGCTATCAACAAAATGATCAATTTGGGAGAGGTTAAAGTCGGCACGGGAAACCTCTGTTACTGAAGGTATTGGTATTGAATTTAACGACGAAGTAATCTTTTCCTTAAATTTTGTGACAGCACTATCTGATAAACATCTAGTATAGTAACTGTTGCTGAGTGGCGTGTAATCGAGTAAAAAGAAATCAAAAGTAATCAGATAATGATCTGATAGCAAGGGATTCTGTGGAAAGACTTTTAGGTTATCAATTTCAATTCCATACGTCAGAACTAGATCGAGGGTATGGTTAAAACAGTGAGTGGGTTCATGTACACCCTGACTGAAGCCAATGGAGTCTATTAATGAGATAAACGCGGTAGCCAGGGAGTCATTATCAACGTCGACATGAATGTTAAAATCGCCTACAATAATAACTTTATCTGATTTAAGAACTAAACTGGATAAAAACTCTGAGAATTCAGATACAAATTCAGAATACGGGCCAGGAGCACGGTACACTATAACAAATAAAAGTGGCTGCGAGGTTTTCCAGGTCGGATGTAAAACACTAAGAACGAGGCTTTCAAATGAATTATAATCTAGTTTAGGTTTAGGGCTGATTAACAGACTAGAGTTAAAAATGGCTGCAACTCCCCCTCCTCGGCCGCTGCCTCGAGGAATGTGGGTATTATTATGACTGGGAGGAGTGGACTCATTTAGACTAACATATTCATCTTGACACAGCCAGGTTTCAGTGAGACTGAGTAAATCAATATGATTATCTGATATTAATTCGTTTACTAACACTGCTTTAGACGATAGAGACCTGATATTTAACAGTCCGCATTTAATTCTCCTGTTTTGTCTTTCTGTCACAGAAGAGGTTTTAATTTTTATGAGGTTGTTATGCACAACTCCTCTTTGTTTAATTTTAGATTTAAATAATTTAGGTGGTCGGGGGACAGACACCGTTTGTATAAAACTATGAAAACTATGGCTGGGTAACTGAACTAGAAGCTCAGAGAGGCGTTTAGGACTGCAACTCTCTGTCCTGGTCTCAACTCTGGGTTGTCAGGGATTTAAATTACTAATAAAATTTGCCAGGTTCCTAGAAATGAGAGCAGTTCCATCCAAAGTGGGTTGAATGCCTTCTCTCCTAATAAGACCAGGTTTTCCCCAGAAAGTTTGCTATTTATTAACAAAACCCACATCGTTTGCTGGACACCACCTGGACAGGTGATGTAATGTAATGATGTAATGTAATGATGTAATGTAATGATGTAATGAGCTAACAATATTAAGTCAGAAGGTATTAGTTCATTTCCACAGAGCAAAGGAAATATATGCCTGTAAGTATGAACACACATGTCGTTTTATACTAGTAAATAAAATGTAACGTTTGCTGAGATTATATTAATGCGATCGAGACGCTGATTTCCGTTATAACATTAATGGTAACTCCCATCATGTGTTGGCATTAAGCCACTGGACTAAGCGCTAGTTATCTGCCCCATGGTGATAGCAGTTAGAATACAAGATGAGACGACGCGTTACGATACGATATGGTACAATATGATATGATGCGATGCAGTGCGATACAATACGATATACTTTCTTGTCCCTGTAGAGAAATTCATCTTGGATTCAGGAGCTGCACAAGTATTGCTACCTTACAATAACAGTTCAGAGGAAATGAAGCATACACCAATAATGGTCAGTAGGTTTTCACTTAGAAAGTATTTGTCTGGGTGCTTGGTGCAAACAATATTTGAAGATTTGAGGAACATAACATGAAAAATATGAAAAAAATGGAAAATTTAACATAACAAATATGTGCAATAATATGCATATAGTTTCAGCTGTTTTGTTAGGAGCTAAGCTATAGTGGATAGTAAATAGTAATATAACTTGAATGCTTATTTCTTTATTATTTAAAAACACAACACAGGAAGGGATTGGGACAAAACAGGAGTCATTCATCCAAGATTGGGACAGGACAGGATTTTTTTATACTCTGCTATGAGATGGGTACAAAGTTTTGGGACAGGAGTGAAAATACAATCCTATGTCCCCCTTTAGTCTGGACAGACATGGATGTAATCTACAAATTGAGTGGTTGGCTGACACACACAACCACAAGGCAGTAGTTCTAGTTTTGGCTTATACTATTCTTTTTATTTTCTCATGTGCCTCTGCAAGGATTTTGTTTTCAGTGTAATAATATCATGAAATGACCCCAACACTTTGGTGCAACAACAGCAAACCCACAAGAGGAAAATAAATTCCCTCATCCTTTCAAGAATGCAAACAGGGCTTTGCTGTTTTGTTTTTTTTTCCCTCCAGTGCTCTTTCAATATCTGTCACCTCTGGCCCTCAGCACAAAGCTCTCCAGTTGCCATGGCGGTGGCTACATTGTCCTTTTAGAACAGAGCTCATTTCTCCAAATGCAGCCGTGAAGTGGATTTAAGCTGCTGAATCTCAATGGGCCACCAACAGTATGGATCCCGAGCTGTGGCCTGCAAATATATGGCGCTAATCTTTAATTAGATGTTGTTAAGATTGCAAATGCAATCCAGTTTCAATTTCATGTGATCATCATTATAAATGCTTAAAAGATTACATTACTGTAAACTGAATCCTGGCGCATATCGAACACAACCTTAATTGATATCAAATTTGAAATATAATAATTTAACACTATGGAATAGCAGGAGTATCCCCGAGGGTAGACTCCACATTTAAGTTTAATCATTTATCGACTTAACTCTTATGTCACTTAATACCAGACACATGAATATTGAAGATGACCCAAAGCAAGCAGCAAATTAGTCCATTTGCTTTATCAAATATCACTTCACCTGCACCTTTAATTGGAGGCTACTAGCCTAAAGGAAAGCCAACTCTGCATCTTGTTCAGCAGAGCACAGAATCCCGCTTTGCTGGAGAAAGTGGTGATTTGTTACTGCATATAAAGCATTTTGGAATATTTATCTAGATTTATCTATAACCTCTTCACTTTTAATATCCAGTTTCGCAGAAAAAAAGTTAGAGCCGAGGCTCTTTTTATGAACAAAACTGGCAATAATCATGAATTTTCCTTCCTGGGTCAGTTATCATATGACCCACCAACGCCCTGTTTATATGGCCAGGGTGGTTCAGAGGATGTGCATCAGTAATTGAGGCTCCACAAGTAAAAAATGTATTACTCATCATTGCTCCCTCCCTTCCTTTCTTGTAAACAGACACCATTTCAGATTTCATGATGGAATATGAATTTCAATAATGCAGTTAAAAGCACCACTGCAATCTGGGCGTTTGTGCCCATTATTGTGACTTTTCTTTCACCCAACAGGTCGTGTACTGGGAAGACGACACCAAGCCTGACACTGTTGGCAAAGTGCGCATATCTGGAAACTTCACGCTGGTTAACATCACAGGGCTAAAAGCGAACACAGTCTACTATCTCTCTGTGGCCGCTTTCAATACAGCTGGCCCCGGGCCACAGTCGGCACCCATCAACGCCACCACAAAGAAACCACGTGAGTCCGTCCCTGAGGGGCATTGAAATCATTTCCAAATGGTCCTCGTTCATGAACCTTGTCAGCCCCTCTCTGATGACGTTGTACTGCCCTCAGCATGACAGGCGTAGCATTTCTGCAGCTTTGTTGGTTGTGCTCATAAAATTCAATGTGACAAGGGAACTTTCCATTTACCTTGGGAAAAAAAAAAACTAATCACTGGGTTGAGTGGAACGTAAAGGCACTGACAATTTAGGTATTTAGAATGGACAAGTGATGTTAAAACTAATCCAGAAGACTGCTGTGTAAGCTAGATTCTTGAAATTTAGGGATGAATGTTTGCAGACATCCTGTTATATGCTTCCTGACACCAGGATTCTGATCTCTTTTTCATTTCCTGTGGCAGAGATTTACTACCAGTGGCCATACAGTACTTGATGCTACAATTTTATTTGAAAAATTAGTGAGTAGTGGCCCTGAAAGCTCTATGCCAGGAATACTCAACTTGCTTTTCCCAGGGGCCACCTAATAAACAAAAATATTTATCAGTATGTCTAATAAAAGAATTGCCTATTTTCAACCTTTAAACATTTGCCGTCCTCACTCATGTTTGCAAGAGGCATATCTGGTGAGAGCAGACCCGCACAGGTCATGTGTACTCATTTGGGGCTTAACCTCTGGCCTCTGTCAGGGGGGTCTGGGTGATCTTCCCTGACACTTTTTTTTTTCTTTCAAGAAGCTCAGTTTTGCATTTTGGCTTTTTTTATTTGTTTGTTTTTTGCATTTTCACAATCAAAGTACAAAAAAAAATGCCATTGTCAATCACTTTATTTTAACCGCGAAACAGAAAATGGTCAGGGGGCACCCTATTGCAACAGTACTTGACAATACACTTTTATTTGGGGAAAACAGTGGAAATAATATGCCGGCCCTGAAAGCTTTATGCCAGGGTTACCAGGAGACCAGGAGCCAGTTAATAGACATCATAGACATAATTTTTTCCATGTGTACTCAGGGGCGTTTGTGGGATTTGAGGACATTTGGGGCTTAACCTGGGCCTCTGTCAGGGGCTCTGAGAGATCCTCCCCTGCCTTTTTTTTTTTTTTTTTTAAGAAGCTCTTTTTCTCTGTTTTGCATTCTGTTACCTTTTTTACATTCAAAGCACAAAAAAATCTCATAAATAATCCGTTTGTTTTTATTCTGAATTCAAAAATAGTCAGCGGCTCACCCAGCAACCAAGCGATTTTGCCCACAGGCCTCAAGTTGAATATGACTGCTCTACGTACCGCAAAGTGAGAAAAGTGCAAAAACAGTATTTGACAATACACTTTTATTTATTTGAGAAAATAGTGAGAATTCTGTGGCGGCCCTGAAAGCCTTATGCCAGGGATACTGAACTTGCTTTGCTCAGGGGTCACTTTTACAAAATAACAGGAGGCCAAGGCCTGTAATAGACATCATAGACATAGACATCATTTTTATGAATATGTATAATAAATGAATTGCCTCTTTTCAATCTTTTGACATTGCTGTCATCACTCATCTTTGCAAGAGACAAATCCAGTCGTAGCAGCCCTACACAGGTCGTGCGTGCAGGAACCTTTCTGGAATATAAGGACATTTGCAGCTTAGCTTAACCTATGACAGGGGGGGATCTTTCCTTTGCACTTTTTTTGATACATGAGCTTTTTTATGTACTCTGGCACCTTATTTACATTCAAAGCACAAAAAAAGAAATCCCAAGGTGAACAAATGTATTTTCATTGTGAATTACAAAATGGTCGACGAGCCACCCTATTGTGAGCCAAATTTGGCCCATGGGCCTTAAGTTGAATGTCCATGCTCTATGCACTGCATGCAAAAAAACTGCAAACATACACAACATCCAATTACATCAAAACACAGCAAAAACAGAAAACACAACCAAATAACAAAACACACTGTGTTTTCTGTTTTTGCTGCATTGCTGTGTTTGGTTTTGTTTCTAACTGAGCCACGCCTGTTTGTGTGCTGTGCGTATGACGTTAGATTGGTGAAGGTGTTTTTTTTTTTCCATGTTGCAATATGTTGAGTTCTCAGGGCCACCGTAGAATTCGCTCTGTCTTAATTAGTGATGGTGGTCTGCTGCAGCCTCAATTTATTGCTCAGTCTCATGGAGTTTTTTTTATATCAAATCTTTCCAAGTGGAACAACTGTATAGAGCAGGAATCTGCAAATTGTTCTATATGCAGGCACTGATTTAGAAAAATAACCACAGGAGATAATTGTGCAGAGTGTCTTGTAGTATATCCTTACCTCTGTTTCTTTTTCCAGCTCCAGATCGGGCTCCGCTCAACATACAATGGACCATGATTGGCTCCACACTCACACTGCACTGGGATCCTGTAGTAGCTATGGAGACAGAGTCAAAGGTTACTGGATATTTGGTAGGTCCCAGTTCACTGCAAACCTCTGATTTATCTCCACAATCAGGGATGACGGGTTTTGCATTAGCTCATTTTTCCTCGTCACCCTCCCCTGCCGCAGGTGCTGCTGAAGAGACATCGCTATAACGACATCAACACTATCTTGACCAACAAAACCACTGTGGAGCTCAGCCTCTCCGCCAATGACAACTATCTTATTCAGATCAAGGCCATGAGTGAAGGTGGTGAAGGTGTGGGCAGTGAACCCATCCACATCCATAAATTAAGTGAGTCTACCATTGTTTTCTTTCCTCTTTCACATCATCTCCTTTTTGACCATTGATAAAACTTAAGTGAGGATTCAATAATTCAGAGAGAACATTTAATTTGGCCTTGCCGCATCCCTTTCCAACCATGTGTAATAGACTTATTTCGAGTGCGAGAAAAGCGACCTTTTTAGAAATGCGTGCGCGGTGTCATCCATCTCTGCCATTGGGTTATTATTCCTTGTTGACTGGCTGCACAGCACTGCAGCATATAAAGCAGTTCAGTGCTCCCATCCTGCTGCTGTGCAAAATTGTGAGGCGGCTCAGTTTGCCGCGCTCCTCTTTGATGTGATACGAACTTTATCTTCCCAGGATACTTAAATAGCCTCTCCTGTTGAAAGCCAGTAATAATGTAGATATGGAAAAAATTCAGAGTTGGCTTTTGATTTATGATGACTTGTCAGAAATTTAGGGGATAGCACAGCGGAGTGCAGGGTTTGTTCTTTGGATTTGTGGGGGATTTCTGGTTCCTCACGAGCTGCTCTGCTGATTTCGGTTGCAGGCATGGGGGCGCGGGGCTCGGGAGCGATCCGCCTCAGTCCATTGTACCTCTCTGCAGTCCTCATCAGCGCGCTGCTCTGCTCCGCCTGGTGATGTCTAATCGGAGCCCACGGAGCACCCTCCCTCCCCCTCCATCCCTTCAGTCAGCCTGGTCGCTGGACTGGCACAAGGCCCAGGCTTCAGTGGCAGGACTGGGAAAGACTGGAAAGGACTGGACTCCGCCAAACTCTTAAAGGGACCACGCCACTTTCTTTTGAATGGCCATCAGATAGAGAGACGTGATAATTTGCGTGCATGATATCTTTCAGTATTTTTTCCAGCGTCATAAGTGCCACCATGCTCTAGGTTTCATTTTAGAGGTTATGATGTCTACATGACTTATCTTCTTAGTATCTTTGGAGATACTAATGCCTTAAAATCCATTTTACACATACAGTCCGTACCAAAGTAGGTGACAGAGGCTGCTTGCTTTATGGTTTCTTTAACCCTTTATACATTCTTTTTGCAAAAAAAATGCATTCACAAGAATTTATCTTCTCCAGGTCAACCTCTCACAAATGATTAACCTAAATCCATTGGTTTCATTCATATTTTATCATCTCAAAAATCTTAAACTAGTTCTGCTGACAGAACATTAGTTAATATCTCTGTCACGTTTATAGCAGCTTTTGCCAAAATAAATGTCCATTGCAGACTTAAAGGAACATAATGTAAGATTTTGGGGGATTTAGTGGCATTTAGTGAGGTGGAGCTAAAACTCCTCCTGGTTAGAATTCTTTTAGTGTTCATTGTTCAGAAGGTTTTTACCAGGAGCCAAATGATCCTCAGAGGTCTCTTACAGTAGATCAAGTTAATAACAATGGTAAAAACACTGAATGAAGCAGTTTCACATCGGAAATCTGTCATGCACTGGCATGTCGCAGACATGCCCAGCACCTACCATTGTGTGCTTATTTATTTTCTCTGATAACTTCATGTTTGCTCACCTTATATGTGATTCAGATGTGTAGGAGGTTATATCCAGGAGCCAAATTGTCCGCAAAGGTCTCCTCCTCTCCAAATCAAACAAACCCGGTGATTTAAACCGGTAAAAACACTCAATAAACCACTTTACAATTAAAAAATACAGTATTTTTCTGATGCTGCCTGTCGCAGTGGGGCTGCACACTATGGAGTCTGACAAGAAAATGAAAATGGTTTTATCTAAACCCAGTGTTTGGTTTGTCCATTCTGGGCTCCTGTAGAAACATGGCATAACATGGACATATCCATAGACAAGGACCTTCTCCCTGTGCAGATATAAACAGCTCATTCTAAGGTAACCAAAACACAATGACTCTTATTTTCAGGTGATTATACACTCAAGAAAACATACTTACTATTATATTCAATTTCTGCCAATATATCCCCCTAAATCCTACATACTGGACCTTTAAATATTCTTCCAGGCTCTGACAGATATATAAAAGATGCATAGCAAATTGATAAACTGTGCCTCAAACCCACTTATCTCTACATACTGAAATAATATTAGGTCTGTTGGACAGCCATAGTCTCCTGAGCTTAAGGCCCTCTCTACAATACTCTGATAGATCTTGGCATTTTGCCATCTCGTGCTCCTCTAAATAATAAATGCCCATCACACTCTGCATTCTCAGTCTAGCTAAAAACCCAGGATTGCAGAAAATAGAGACATGTGGTATCACTATGTCAAGCAGATCCCATGTGTACCTCTCCGTTTAGAGGACCTGTGTTCTAGATACGTATATCATATCACAGAATATGTACCATCTACACCCCAGATGACCAGCCGCCCTAGTGCACAATGGACTACAGGATAACAGTGCCTTCACTAGAGCTCACTCAGATTTCTTTTCTTTCCTTTTCAAATAGCTTAGGGGAAAGATTCATGTTGCAGAAGAGGCGTTGTTTGCTTTTCTTTCCGAGGAAGTTAGGAAGGACAGGAAACTCAGAATGTAGAGGGTGCCCATTATTGAAAAGGCTATGTTGATTAAATTTTCATTGAGACAAGTCACCTGAGAGGTTACCTAAGACAAAAAGGGTTGGAAGCTTTAGGAAAGCTGCGATAGATTGAGATATATGGCGGAAATTTTGGTCCCAGTATTTATGGTCTGTGGTATAATAAATGTATGACTCCATCCGAAGCATAATTTATGGGCTATTAAGGCATCAGAATAATTGATGCCAATACCGCAGTGAAAGAGCCCTGACTGGAAATGGAGCGAAAGGCATGGCTGTCATTTTCCCCCCGCCCCATCACCATCTATTGGACATATACCAGACTGAACAGTAACAAAAGAACATTGCTACTCTGCTGAGGCAGCTACTTTTCACGCCCTTTTATCATGTGGATGAGTCTGTCAGAAGCCACCCAAGAAAGAGCCGAGGTGCGATTACTGGGGTCCTTACAATGTTCATGTGGATGTGGAAGGATACAGTCAACTGAACTGCTACTCATTACTGTGCCTTTGCCGAACATGGGGCTGTGTACGGTCATTAGCTCGGAGGCTGTCGTCGCTGTCTGTATTTTGCACTCTCTTCCCCCCACTTCCCCAAAGTCGAATGAAAGCACAAGGAATTGATGCAAGGTGACTGGATGTCCTCACTTAGCCATCTGAACAGGTGTGCAGACCCCAGAGGCCTCGTAAAAAGTCCAAACAGCCGACATAATCAGGCTGTCCTATCTGCTCCTTGACTGGTTTCATAAAGCTCTGTGCTCTTTGATTAGACTGCTGCAGACCAGTCAATGGGATATTGATTTTCCTGCCCCATTATTACAGCTGTCACAATTCAGCTGCTTGATTGACTGATGGTTGCGTTCTTATTGCACGCGTTCTGTTGTGTTACAGTCAATGAGGTTTCAGAAACTCCCTATCAGACAATTTCAAAGGCATTTTTTTTTTCTGTTGTGTTTTGGTTTACTTTTACTAGAAATTTCACTGTATTTGCTCAATTTTTCACAGATTTTACAAGTATTTTGTAGTGTAGTGTTAGATTGTGCTTTTGAATTGGAGCAGTGACCTGAAATCGATTGGCTGGTTGATTTTTTTTTTTGAGTTGCGTGTCCAAGTACTACTGTATCTTTTTAAGAGCCCAGTCACACCAGCATTTAAAAATGATAAAATTTCATGGAATAATCAGTTCATTTCAATGGAAATGCTGCGATTTGCAGATGAACTTATGAGGCGAGGAAATGCTGCCTTCAAATTGGGTTGTATTTACTGTGATAAGGAGAAAAGTCAATATGAATGCCCTCCTCTTGTAGTTTATTCTTAAGGCTCCAAGTTCACAAGTTGTGACATTTTTGCCGAAGTTTTTAAAAATGGCGGAGGCCATGAAAGTTCATTTATCAATAATATTTTGTAATTTTAGTCATTAGGGTTTTTTGTCATGTCTGAGGAAAATGTTGATATTTCCAATGAAATTTCCAACATCCATGTTGCCGTTGCCTAGCAATGGTGCTTTCTTGACTTAACCACTTTAATACCAAGTATATCGTGCACATGGCTTCCTATAAGCTATATAGATCCATTTGAAGGCAGCATAAATGTGTGTAAATTTCCACTTTGGTAAACTTTTTTGTGCCGTTAACCATTAACAAACTGTCTTGACCAACAGGATAATTCAAAATGGAGGAAGCTAACATAGCTTATTTGCTGTGTTGCTTTAACCACTTTCATTGAACCCCATTAAACAGTAGGTTATAGCCTGCTCCACAAAAGAAGCAAGGTTTTTAGAGAAGTTATGAGACAGGTTTTGATGGTTCAAATATGTCTATGGAATAGGCTAAACTGTGTGAACTTAAATGTCCTGTTATCGACCAAACTAATGAGCTTGCTAACTGGCATTGAGCAAGCTACTTAGGTTGGAGAATTTATTTCTTTTAAGGATAGAAAACAAAGAACAAAAAGACAGACTAGCACTAGCATGATCCCAGCTGTCTAATACATTTAGCCATTAGCTCGACAGCTATAGTAGTTCACAACACACTAGCCCTGTGAGTGTTCACTATGTCACCAAGCTTCTAGCAATGCCTGTTTAACAAAGACGTGCATATGAATATCGCTGTGCCACTTTCTGGTGTGACCGGGCCTCAAAGCAGCTTGTGTGTGCAAATACTTGATCCAAGTGGTGTTAATATTTTTTGTTAATCCAAATAAGGTAACCTCATTGCAAAATGGCAGACTCATAGGTCATTAATTTACAGTGCTTCAATGTGTGGCAGTTTCTCAGAGCTTTCTTATTATTTACATAGTTGTAATTCAGCCTAATGTTTCTTACCTCTGCTCACAGAAGAAAACAAATATATTGTTTCTGGCCTTGTGCTTTAATAAATACTACAAAGTACAATCTAAAGGAAGTGATCAGAGCCATCAGCTGAAATGGTTGAACTGCATTGATCATAGAACAACAACATATCTATTTATATCCACAAGGTCTGTTTGGTTAGATTGGTTTCTGTGCTGTTGTCGCTAGAAAGGAGTGTACCTGGTGCAGTGTAAATAGCTTGCATATATTTTTTAAACATGGCCATCAAAGACAACCTTACTGCTTTTATATAGTGTGTTCCCCGACCTTAATACTGGTGTATTAATCAATGATCTCTGTGAGATGCTGACATGTAGAATGGCATTTTCATATTGAAAAGTAACTGTTTTGTCTTGTATACTAAAATTGTGCATGTTAATCATTGTTTGTGAATTTGTGTTGGATTTTTTTCTAAAACTATAACTTAATAAAAATGTTTATTCCAGCCAGTGGGCTGTTCTCCTGCGTCTGCCTCACACACCAACAGCTTTCACAAATTGATAGAAACATAGAAAACCTGGGGCCAGAAAGTATTTTTACAGTTAGGAGGGATGGTTAGTGTCTGGATCTCTGGGCAAATGATGAAGCTGATAAAGCAGTTTGCTGTGTGCACTGTACTTAATTCTGAATTTGTAGGCAACAGGGTACATAGTGTTTGGAACAGCAAGTCCTCCAACCCAGACAACAACAAAGGTCAAATCATCCTACCTCTGAATACAACCCAGTTCCTTAACAGGCGCACCTACTGGCAGACAACAGACATATATGACTCTTGTAAGAGTTGCAGAGTAAGGTGACAAAATTCCTTGGTTAGATTTAGAAAAGATATATATATATATATATCATCACTTGTCACTCATGTGACATACATCACGTGACATACTTCGACAATCAACAGACTGGCAATACGTCATCCAGAGTAGGGGCCCATCTCCATGCCCTCTTTTGGGGGAAAACAATCCAGTATTCTGTGTAGACTGCAACAGCATACACAGACAAAGTTTAAACATGTCTCCAAATTTCTCCTTGAAACAAAGCAGTTGGTATTAATAGCACTATGCTGATGAGTTGCTGTGTATTTGGTTGCACCAACAATAAATCCCAAAACGCTGATCTCCAATTTGTTTCCTGCCATGTCCTAAAAACAGATAGAAGATAGAAGGGCTCTGGCTCCAAGCTATAGACCAGCCCTGTGTTCCCATTTGGGATAAAGCAACATGCTGTAAAAAGGAGAGAAGCAGAAAATGCAGAAAGGCTGTTGTGTAGTGGATCGACCAAGGAGATTTGAGGGACATTTAAGAAATGTGATTAATTACTGTCAGAAATAAATAAATGATGCTGGTGACAATTAACACTGAGCACGGTTACATGCGAACAATAATCAGATAACTGGGAATAATCAGATAATGGTAATAATCCGATTTGGCGTGTTTACGTGCACTTCAATAATCTGACAATCAGAAAAACCTTGTTTACATGATTCAGTCCTTTAGTTGGATTTCTCCCCAAGTACAGGACATAAAACTCAAACATCCTGTTACAGTAGCTATTCATATCCTTGAAAAACCTCGAAAAGTATGCAAATCATATATTTGCAATATAAAGCACTCATCATGCTGACAGCTTATATTCTTACAGTACTGTTTGTTTTTATCATTAACAAATACATGTGAGAGCATTTTAATGTGTAGTTTATCAATGTGGAGCCAATTTTACATACTTTGGGTAGATTCGGAGTAAAAGTACTGCAAAGTGCAATATACAAGTGTATTGTATATAAACTTGTCACACAAAGTGCATAACATATAAGTAAGATAAAATAAAAGTGACAATTTAAACACTGAGAATATAAAAATATATTATTTTATGTAAAATCTTTATCTGAAAGGAAACAAAAGCTGTCAGATTAACGTAGTGGAGTAGAAAGTACAATATTTCCCTCTAAAATGTAGTGGGAGTATAAAATAGCAAAACCCGAAAGAAACCAGATTAAAGGGTATACATGCACCGAATAATCTGACTATTGGGGAAGAAGC